GTACAGATCCATTTGCTTGGGTTTTTTTTTCTTCAAAAAAGAGAATCTCAACCCATTTGGAAACGCTTGTCTTTTTAGCCACTGCATTGAACTCTGACTCCAGTTTAGCTTGTGGTTTGCTAAAACCCTTGTTTGTTTTCCCATGTACTGTACATTTAGACTAAAATTCCTCTCTGGGCTCTTTGAAGACTGTTTTAACATAAATGCAGTACTGTATGTTAAAACGTTTACAATTTGTGGCTAGGCTAATGTATCTGATTTAGTAACAGTATGAACCACATATTATTGAAGACAACACGAGCTGCCCTACTGAGCCAGATCATCCGATTATTAGGATCTGATTCTTGTAGGAAGGATGCTAGGCTGAATGGACTCAGGACAGGAAGACCTTGATCACATGATACAGATTCAATTAACCCATTATGCTAGCAGAAGCCAGAGCAAGGACTCGTCACTAGCACATCAGGGCTTTGCCCCACTCCTCTAGAACCTCCAGAACAGCAGGCAGGAAGAGGAAGAGAGGAGACTGTTCCATTGCGCAAGCAGAACTCCTTACTCTGGATTGTATGCCACATGGCGCTCGCTCTCCTCCCTAACATGAGCTCTCTTGTTCACACTTCCAGCTAGCCAGTCAGCTTTGCCCTCCCTCCAGGATATGCCATTCCTTTGCTCCTCGCATATATTTCACATTTTTCATTTCCATCTGACAACAACAAGGGAGCATGCTTTGTCCTCACTGAGCTAAGTATTGATGGGGAAGAGGGGATCCCCTTTAGATTTTATATTTAAAGGATATTTTTGTACATCTGCAGATTTCAGCCGAGCACGCTCAACCTCCCTCTTGTTTCTTGGTCACTCTGCTTTGGTTCCCACCATCTTGAATTCGTTATTCAGGACACGGATGTTAAGAATAAGAGCTTTAAATAAGTACCTGGGCTTTGAACACACCTGCTTCCATGCACTTCCATGTCAACAGTTCAAATGGTCCCATTCTCAAGTTTGCTTTTGAAAAATGACCTTAGAGCCCAGCTCCGTTGAGCCCATAACTTTGCAAAGGTACAAAGGTCCGGTTAACATGCTGCACTCCACCATTTACAATCAAAGATAATATAGTAGTAATTTGTTACACCTTCACAATACTTTTAAAACCCAGAGCCTTGTGTTCCTAGCACGTTAGTTATATGACATATATATCTTGGGAACTCTAGTTTATTCCTCGGCATTACAATACCCAGTTCCCTTAAACTGCAGTTCCTAAGATTATTTGGGGGAAGAGTTATGTGCTTTAAATGTATGCTGTGTATGCCACCCTGTATGAGACCCCACAAAACTTCCTCCATTCCACTACCACTGTATTGTCCAGCAATTTAGGTCAACTTTCTGCTTTCTGTGGTTATAATATTTTCTCCTTCCCTCTCTTCCTCCCTTCCATGTCTGCAAATGAAAAGGCAAAGGCCAATGTAGCCCCACCCATCTGCGGACCCAGAAGTGTATCAGGCATTGGCAAGGAGGGACTGACAACTGTTCTTGCAAGAAAGGAAGGAATAGAGAGACTCCATGGCCAATTTGGGGGTGGGGGAAGGGAAGAGATGCTATGAACCTCAATAATAAAAAGCAGGGCTGGCTTGACGTTTAATCTTCCATAATTAAACACTTCTGCAGTAGAGAACTCTGCTCACTCAGACATACTTTCCAGAAATGACTATGCCACATTCTTATGTACGAGTAGTAAACAAAGTTTATAAAAGAGAGAGAAATTCCATGGATGAGATAGAGGGGAAGGGAGTGAAACAAATCATAACGTGGGATTTCTAGTCTAATATAAAACGGTTGTATGCAAACTAACCAGTTTTGGGTTACTGAGTTTTCAAAGGCAATGAAGTTCCTGTGAAATTCTTTTCTCTAAAGGTGTTGAATTTATTATTATTAATCAAATTTATATACTGCCCTAAACCCGCAGGTCTCAGGGCAGTTCACAGGAGTAATCCATACCATGATTCCCCCAGGAACAGAGACATGACCAGTAAAACGTTAATAGGAGTTTGGACCCCCTTTGGAGTGGCTGGGATCAGGTGAGCCCCTGTGGGAGCACCCTCAGGCCAGTCTTGAAAAGCCATGAGGCTACTTAACTTTGGGTGTCTGAGGAGTCTGCAACACTTACTGTAGGTTCTCATCTGGAAAATGTTTTATGTTCTATATTCAGTTGTAGCATGATGAGGATGATGATGATAATAATAATAATTATTATTATTTATATCCCGCCATAACCAGGCTAAGGGTGGCTAACATCAAAATATAAATACATTAAAATATAAAATTCAGCAATTGACTGAAATACAGCTTAAAATCGGATTAAAATCAAGTAAGATCAGAAGGCAACCGGCAAATTCTGACTATAGGGGTTGGAAACTTTAGGTACTCACCAGGCTCAGCTATTTATATGAGCCAGTTAGAGAGACCTCTTATGTATAGGGTCTTGTAGGAGGAGAGGGGTCAGACTGGGCCCTGACAAAAGGCCTGGCGGAACAGCTTTGTCTACAGGCCCTGTGGAAAGATGTCAAGTCTTTCACGGCAGGGTGTTCCACCAGGCTGGGGCCAGGGCCGAAAAGGCCCTGGCTCTGGTTCGAGGCCAGCCTAACCTCCTTGAGGCCCGGGTCCTCCAAGATGTTATTGTTTGCAGACTGTAGGGTCTTCCATAGGGCATACCAGGAGTCTGTTGGAAATCTAGTGAATCTAGTTACAACCACTTGCGCAATCCCTTATGCAGACTTTCTCCAACCCAGTCTTAATGCTAACCAAGCACTGCCCAGTGGTCTTCCATGCACCTTATGCAATGGACAGCATGCAACGTATAGTCCGCAGCATGCTTATGCTACCCTTATATTGATTGCTTTTGCTACGACAGACTTCCGCAGCTGCTCTGTTCAGGAGGTGTAGGATGGGGCAGTGCATTCTGAGGCCTGCTGCTGCCTTTGTCTGTGGCCTTGGATGAATCACCTGGGTTACGTTTATCCCTCCCTGCGTCAGGCCTGTTTGTTTTTTTCCAGAAGGCCTTGGAGTCTGCCAGAGCATTCTGGGAAAGATGAACATCTTGTAAACAGGCAGCCTGTGGCCTTGGAGCCGCGTGCAGCCCTCTCTGCCTAATTTCTACCCAGGTGCTTGGCAGGCAGGTAGAAAGAGAGGCCTGCTCCTCCTGCTTTTTGGGTTCTGTCCTGTCCATCTGACAGGATCTCTTGCAAAGGAGTAGCGGCGCTTGACAGGCAATGATGCCTTCCCTGCCTGCTGGTATAAAAGGGCGAGTTCCCTCAGGCCTCCTTGTCGCGACTGGAACTCCTCTGCTTCCCTGTTGTTGCTTCTCTGCCCCCTGGTTAGTGATCCGTTAAAGCCAGGACAGATACCCGGAACGTCTCCTTCCTGGCCCTACCTCACTGGGGTGGTAGGCAGGTCACGCTGACCCAGATTTCAGCACAGCATACCTGCCGGTGCCTCTCAGGAAGTCTCCTCCTCTGCCTGCGTTAATCATAAATCCACCCCAATCTCCTTGGTAACCCAAGCGGGGGCTTGCCTTGTGTTTCTCACTCTGTGGGACATCCTTCGGGGTGAAGGTCGCTTGCTTGATGGCTCCCTGCTTGGGGGGGGGAGCCATCTCCCCGCTATGGGGGCGGGTGATGAACCTGCCACTCGCACGGTGAGTTCCTGGGATCTGACAAGGGAGGAGAGACAGACACACAAAGAGAGGGAAAGGGAGCGGATGCTTCTCCTTGTAAGTCTCTTCTTCCTTAATACCTTTCCTCCACTGCTGAATTCCCTTAGAAATAAACAGCTTGCCACATAAACCATGCCCTCCTCCCCTCTCACTTGTAACTTGACCCTCCTTGTGGGCCTAGAGTTATTTTTAACCTCCCATTGACCCGCATAACTTTTTTATTATTGTTGTTCATTAAACGATGCCAGTCTGGAGATAGGAGGCCTTGAATTGGCTCACGGCTTCTGCATCCCCTGGATTAAGCACTGCCAGTCCTCCCACTTGCTTCCTGTCCTTCAGTTCAGGTAGCACTTTGTCCAACCTCCTCCTCCTCCTCTATTTTTCTCCTAACCTGCATCCACTGACAGTGGGAGAGCTCTGCTGGGCAAGGTAAGTGTTCCTCTGGCATTCCCTCTCCACATTCTGGCGTTTGGCTTGCTGGGAGGTGGAACGTGTCCTGGAAACACTTAATTACAGCCAGTCTAATCCTGTAACACTGAATCTTGCTGTCTCAATGCATCCTCCTTTTAAAACAGAGCCATAAAGGAGGGAGGGAAGTTTTTGTGGGAAACTTGAGACAGGAGGGAAGAATGCCTTTTTGACTGACAGAAGTTGGGACCAGAAGGTGAGGGAGAGTAAGTTGCCTTCAGGGAAAGATTGCAGATTCAGTCTATAGAACTGAGAAGCAGGTGTTGGGCAAAATCCTTCTGGCTAGAGACAGATCATCACAGTGGATAATACTGAGCAAAGTGGATCGATGATCTGGATTAGGCTCAAACATCTTCCCCTATTCAAGGAGTAGAAGCTATTAGATAGTAAACAGTTTGGAGGCAGGGTAAGCTCTGGGGTCCCCAATGTGTCACTCATGATCATCATAGTGCCCTCCTCTTGGTGCCAGCCAAGATCCCCTGTCCCCATTTTTTTAAAGAAATTGAGGCTTTTTGTGATGAGGAGAGTGGGTATTTATTTATTTTTGGGGGAGGAGACATTGCCTGCTTTTTGTATCAGTTTTATTTCTTTTGAGTGAGTATGTGTTTAGTCTGGTTTTTGGGGAGGAGGGAGGGGTGTCTGAGCATCACCCATTTTTCTTCAGTGAAATGGGTATTCTTAGATGTCTCACTGTTTGCTTAGATTGAAGAAGAAGAGTTTGGATTTGATATCCCGCCTTTCACTCCCTTTAAGGAGTCTCAAAGCGGCTAACATTCTCCTTTCCCTTCCTCCCCCACAACAAACACTCTGTGAGGTGAGTGGGGCTGAGAGACTTCAAAGAAGTGTGACTGGCTCAAGGTCACCCAGCAGCTGCATGTGGAGGAGCGGAGACGTGAACCCGAAAGGTTGGAGACCCTGGCTATATGCTATACCCTTTCACTTTGTGGTGTTAATCGGAAGGGTGGTCACCACCTTCCCCTCTGCTTACAATTGCAGGAGCACCCACTGCACCAAAATGAAGTCCTTCTACCACCCCATCCTGCTATGACTGCGCATATGACAGGATAGTTGAAGGAATGTATAATCCGTATTAAGGGACATTGAGTGTGGTCTGTATGCTTGTTTCTGTAGAAGATAGATCAGGAATGGAGAGAGGAAATGTTGAAGTTCTGTCCCAAAATCCGAACCACAAATTGACTGGTATGAGGTCTTGAGGGCTGGAAAGTGTTTCCAAGTAGCTCAGAGGTCGTGCAACGGCATTCCCTTAACTCCCGTGCTTTCTTGCCCTGGCTTTGCTTTCCTTCCTAGGGTGGAACAAGAGAAAAATCACAGCTTTTCTTTGGGTTCTGAACACCATGCATAGAAACTGCCAGCATATCGATCACCTATGGAGACAATACCTCCTGCTGCTGCTTGTCGTTTGGGGGAGCTCTGGGACAGGTAAAGTCTAACAGAGTGGCTATTGTACACATTTAAATGGGCTGCACAATAATTATCCACACCAAAGGTGTAAAACGTTTTGCTAAAAAAACAACAAAACAAAACACTATTGTCAGGGAGCTGTCCAGGATATATCCTGAAGTATACATATAAAAAATAAATTAACAGTCTTCAAATACATTTTTCTTTGCAAGCTTGAATGTAGAGCAGGTCTTTCAACTTTGCTAAATGGCACATGTGTGCACTCACACAGAGCCATTTGGGCTTGTCAAATTTTCTTCCCATGCAGCAGAATAGGTAGATGAAGTTGTCAGAGTATACCGTAAATGTATTCAATGAGGTTTTATACTAGGGGTTTGAGGGATGTGGGTGGTGCTGTAGTCTAAACCACTGAGCCTCTTGAGCTTGCCGATCACAAGATTGGCAGTTCAAATTCACACAATGGGGTGAGCTCCCATTGCTCTGTTCCGGCTCCTGTCAACCTAGCAGTTCGAAAGCATGCCAGTGCAAGTAGTTAAATAGGTACCAGTGCAGCGGGAAGGTAAACGGCGTTTCCGTGCACTCTGGTTTCTTTCACAGTGTTCCATTGTGCCAGAACCGGTTTAGTCATGCTGGTCACATGACATGGAAAAGCTGTCTGTGGACAAACACCAGCTCCCTCGGCCTGAAAGCAGAGATGAGCACTGCACCCCAAAGTCAAATTCGACTGGATTTAACCGTTCATGGGTCCTTTACCTTTACCTTACTAGGGGTTTCCCAATTCTGCATGCTTCTGATGCCTTTTGCCCTGCTTCTCTTTATTGGATGTACCTTCAGTAAGCAGCTTGGATTTACAGAGTATCCTTCATTCTGTACCTGCTTATATTTCACAGGATGCATTTTCAGTTCCTTGATAACCAAGTACACACAGCTAAGGGCACTTTTAATCTCCAGCTCAGTACTCAGTATTTGTTTTTGACACTGATTACCATAGGGCAGGTAGATGCTGCCTGTGGGTTGTTTATAGCAGGGAAGCTCTTAAGCTACCTGCTGAATTCATAGCCAGCCGACCATGGTTGCTTCCTATAAAGAGAAGAGTCCAGGCTTCCAAAGTTGACCAGGAGTCATAGTTTCTGTTCTGAATGGTGAGGGGAAGGCACTCTGCACTTGCTGTAAGGTACACTTGCTGTAAGGGACGCGGGTGGCACTGTGGGTAAAAGCCTCAGCGCCTAGGGCTTGCCGATCGAAAGGTCAGCGGTTCGAATCCCCGCGGCGGGGTGCGCTCCTGTTGCTCGGTCCCAGCGCCTGCCAACCCAGCAGTTCGAAAGCACCCCCGGGTGCAAGTAGATAAATAGGGACTGCTTACTGGCGGGAAGGTAAACGGCGTTTCCGTGTGCTGCGCTGGCTTGCCAGATGCAGCTTTGTCACGCTGGCCACGTAACCCGGAAGTGTCTCCGGACAGCGCTGGCCCCCGGCCTCTTAAGTGAGATGGGTGCACAACCCTAGAGTCTGTCAAGACTGGCCTGTACGGGCAGGGGTACCTTTACCTTTACCTTTTACTTCTGCTATTTCTTCACATTCCCAAATTGGGGGGAAAACACCCATGTTGAACACTCCTGCATCTGTACTTTGGTACCTGGTACAGCTCTCTGTGGGATGCGGGTGGCACTGTGGGTTAAACCACAGAGCCTAGGACTTGCCGATCAGAAGGTCGGCAGTTTGAATCCCCACAACAGGGTGAGCTCCCGTTGCTTGGTCCCTGCTCCTGCCAACCTAGCAGTTTGAAAGCACGTCAAAGTGCAAGTAGATAAATAGGTACTGCTCTGGCGGGAAGGTAAACAGCGTTTCCATGCGCTGCTCTGGTTCGCCAGAAGCGGCTTAGTCATGCTGGCCACATGACCCGCAAGCTGTACGCTGGCTCCCTCGGCCAATAAAGCGAGATGAGCGCCACAACCCCAGAGTCGGTCATGACTGGACCTAATGGTCAGGGGTCCCTTTACCTTTACAGCTCTCTGTTCCTTTCTCATGGTGCCAGTGCATATTCTTTCACATGGAATGTTAAGGCAGGTTGAGTTGGTAGAATCCTCATGTGCTAAATGGAATTGTACCATTTCAGGCTGCAGATGGTGTGTGTTTTTTTAAACCCCCCCCCCCCTAAAGCTGTCTGTGTGTAAAATTCTAGTACATTGAGGAGAAAGAATTAGCTCCCTGGGGCAACTTAATAACTCTGCCCAGAAGCATAGGCAGAAACGAGAGAGCCCAGGCCAGGCAGCTCCTGAGGTAGCCCTGAGAATATTTGGTAGCTTTTGTTCCTTCCAGTATTTTAAATTGAAAATTGCCTTGGTAGAAAGGCAACAAACCAGCCCTGCCTGCTCTCTATTGTGTTAGCTTTCCTATTACAAGGAACTTTTTACATTGTAGTCTCAGAAGAGTATATAGTCTGGTCTGCCACCTCATTCTCACCCAGTCTGCCTCTCCTAATTACAACATGAGGCAACATGGCTGGCATATTGTTGTATATGTAATGTGTAGCCCTCGTGCAGGGCTAGCAGCTTCCCTGTAATTATTTAATTCGTAAAATGAATGGTCAGTGGTTAGAGCACCTGCTTTGCATGAAGTAGGTCTCAGCTTCACTTCCCAGCATCTTCAGGTAGGACTGAGAATGTCCCTAGAGAGCTGCAGCCAGTCAGTGCAGAAGACAATACTCTCATCTTCATAATGAAAACAGACATTAAATAATAATTCTCTTTAATAGTGAACTCAGAGGGTTGAGTGCCAAACATGACCACTGAAAAACAAGAGAAGTGCCATCAACATGCCCAGGAGAAACGGGGGGGGGGGTGGAACTAAAAGGGAGGACCCCCCCAAAAAAACCACTTTCCCACCCAGCAAGGACTCTACATGCTGAGTATCCTTTGGAAAAGGAATATAAAAAGGAAGGAGGAGACTGAGCCCCTTACAGTTTATAGTATCTTGGTGGAGGGAATGGATAGCTGACTGGAAAAGAAACACCTTTTCCCCCTTGTACAACTTGTACAATCTAAAAATAAGCCAGTAAGCCATTGTTAAGAGCAATTCACAGTGACCCTCCCCCTCAGTGTGGGAACCATGAAATGCACACTGATCCATTTCTGTCCCATCATACCAGTTCCCCCATAGTTTCCTCGTTTTATTTTTCCCTCCATCCTTCTCAGTCATTGGCCAGATATTCCATATTTGTTGTTTCTCAAACAGAATGAATTATGAAAAAAAAAAAAGGTAAGCTGGTGTATCATTTTGAGCTCAGGCACCTGAGCATTTTGTGTTTTGGGAGAAGGGGATGCTAAATGTACACAGCTTTGGAAACTACTTTTCTGAAACTCCATTTCTTCCAGCATTGCTCTTCTCCTTCCCCTTCAGCCTCCTGGCACCATCTCGCTTGCCTCCCCATGTCTGCCTCTACCCCACACCCCGTCCTCGGCTTCTGGGAATCGCTGCGAAAAGGCACCGGATGCACCAGCCGGGGCCGCTCTGCCCTGGGGCAAGAAGTCCATGTCATCAGCCTGAAGAAGGGATTGCCGGCAAATGGCCAGGTATGGGAGATCCCAATCCATACCACCTTCCCATGTATGAGGCTGTATGTTGGGTCTCGCTACAGCTCCATTGGATACCCAAACAAGATGGCAGTTCAGCTTGGCACTACGGTTCAAGGTGTCTCAGTCAGTCAAAAAGGCAAAACTCTATTTGAAAGACATCTGAAGGCAGCCCTGTTTAGGGAAGTTTTTAATATTTAATGCTGTATTGTTTTTAACACTTGATTGGAAGCCGCCCAGAATGGCTGGGGAAACTCAGCCAGATGGGCGGGGTATAAATAAATAAATAAATAAATTATTATTATTATTATTAATTATTATTATTATTATTATTATTATTCAGTCACATCTTCACAGTTGTCAGGGCCTGGAAGACGTCTCTCTTAAGTCACAGAAAGGGTTAGGTTAGCCAAGTTGTGAGAAGCAAAGAGGAACACTCTGTGCAGGGCCTGCTTAGAGCTGGGGGTGGGGACATGCCTCAGCTGCTGAACATCCAAGGGGTAAGTTGCTTTGATCATGCATGGAGAAGGTACCTGTCCCCTTGATCCTCTTTCAGGTAACTCTGATAACTCTGGACCCAGATCCCCTCGACAGAGCCCCCATCTTTGTGCTGTATTCCCAGAAGCCTGTTCGTTGGGTGTTGCTGTCTCCCCCTGGAAAAAACTGGACCTTCCAGGTGAGATGGGATAGAGGGCCAAAGGGCCCGCAGAACATCATGGGGATCACTGAGCCAGGCCCTGCTGAGGGGGTCGTTGGAGCCCCTACTCTACGCAAGCATAGAAGATGAGCGGCAGCTATGGGAAGGGTGGATGGAAAAGCTAATTTGCTACCTTCATAGCACTTTAACAAAATACTTTCTAGCTCTGTTTGTCTTCAGAACCATCTTGTGTAGTAAGTTACTATTCTTCCCATTTTACAGATGGGGGAAATTGAGGCTGAGGGAGGCTTGCCTAAGGCTGTGGCTGAGGTGGAACTTGAACCCAGATCTCCCAGATTAAAGTGCAGCACTGTTCAACCTTAGTGCACTCCCCAGGGTGGGGTGTCAGAGAGGGGGGAGGTCCTCCAGGCTAGTATATTTTACCTTTGCCTTCCTCCTATCTACAGGTCTCCCCCGGCTCTAATGTTTCAGCCCCGGGGCCAGTGGCTTCTGCTGAGACCAACTTACCAAAGACGCCCAAACGCCTGCTGAAGTGGGCGCGGAGGGAGCATGGAGGGGTCACCTCTCTGGCTGAATACCGTGGAGTCAACAGAATCTACACACGCCTGGGGGCTGGCATGGGCAATGAGGGTAGATATCGGCTCTGAGGGAAAGGGTGGCATTATGGCTGTGTGTCCTACAATTCCCCTCATCCCTGACCACTAGCCACCCTGGCTGGGGCTGATTGAAGTTGCAGTCCAGCAACATATGGAGAGACACAGGTTCCCCATTTTCACTACTGCAGTGTGATAAGCAGGAGGAAGGCAGCCAGCTGGTCTTTTGGGTCCTGGGCTAATGCAGTATACAGAAGTTGTGCAGGTCTGGGTCTGGTCAGTGCTTGGAAGGGAGACCATCCAGGAAGGAAAGATCTGTGCACTACAATCATAGAGGGAAGATGGAATATATACACGGCACAGATAAATAAGACTCACCAGTATCAACTGGAGAGCAGTTGCCAAAGAGTTTGCATTGCTTGCAAGAAAAAGAGTAAATCGCAGCAGCTCTTCTGTGACCATTCAGTCCAGATGCTTCATTCCTTTCCTTCTCCAGATAGGATTGCCCCAGCCGCTTGCAGATTAAGTAGGAATTTCCTGACCCCGGTGCACTTTGCCTCCAAGTGCCAACTCCAGCCTCTGAGAGTTTGCCTGCATCCTGACCCTCCGCAAGTCCTTGAAGTTCACATCATCCTCTCCAAAGGAGTTGCACCAAGGTGCGTGTCAGGCAGCTGTCGCCAGAGCTTCAGCATGCAGCTGTTGAACCGGGAGGGGGGGCGGGGGTTGGCAAAATGTTCATAACGAGATGCCGTGTCCTGAACAGGGAGGTTGAAATTGTTCTTAGTGTAGATGGGGAAGGGGGATGGTGAGGAAGAATGAAACCTACGCAAGAAGCTGCCTGTGATAAGTGACCCTTGTGTTAAAATGGATAAGATATAAACAGGGACATGGAAGCTGGTTCATCTAGCCTGGTACTGCTGACACAGACTGGCAGCAGATCTCCCATGTCTTTCTCAGCTCTGTCTGCAGATGATGGGGATCGAATCTCTGACCTTCTGCATGCAGAGCAGTTGCCCTGCCACTTAGCAATGGCACTTCCCCCGAAAGTCAAGGCCAGACGGACACTGAGACCCTGAGCCAAAAACGAGTAGTGACAGTGGCTGGTATTCGGCCTTGAATATTGGGCAGGGGTCTCTTGAGTTGGGGGACGGGTGGCATGGGGCTTCGCTGTCTTCCATCATGTGCTTAATCCTGTTGTGGTGGGTGGACAGCCTGCTCTCTTCTAGGCCCACCCTGGCTCATTTGACTGTGGAACTTCATGCTGTCCGAAGGCCCCCCCACTGGGGACTGATCTTGATACTGAAGAGTGAGGGAGCTGCTGAGTGGATGGTTCACACCCACCGCCTCACTGGCCGGCTGCATGTCCTGGTAGGGGCAGGGTATAGATCTGTAACGCTCTCAGCTAATGCGCTTCTCTCTCTCCCCCTCCCCAAGTTGGTGGCAGTGGCACACATCTGGAAGGGAGCAGGGCACACATGTGCTCAGAGCCAGATACAGTGGTACCTCAGGTTACAGACGCTTCAGGTTACAGACTCCGCTAACCCAGAAATAGTACCTCAGGTTAAGAACTTTGCTTCAGGATGAGGACAGAAACCATGCGGTGGTGGCGTGGCGGCAGTGGGAGGCCCCATTAGCTAAAATGGTACCTCAGGTTAAGAACAGTTTCAGGTTACGAACAGACCTCCAGAATGAATTAAGTTCTTAACCTGAGGTACCACTGTAGATGCATTATGCAGAATTGCAACCTTTCCTAGAGGAAGCAGTTTGGTAATTTTAGATGCTGGACTTAATACTATTATAAGGGTTATATTATGGAGGGTTCCTTCTGCTAAGTCCTGTCTTCACAGGCCCACTAGCGAGCTTTGCCAACCCTCTTCCATAAGCTTTCCCTGCATTCTCCTTATAACTCTAGGTTTGCCTCCTCCTCCTCCTCCAGCCTTATTATTTTTCCTGAAGTGAGCCAAGGAGTCTTACTTCCTGGCTCCAACTCTCCACCCCACTAGGCTACTCCCTCTTGGGAGTCTGTCTCCATGCTGCCATTTGAGTCCCCTGGACCGTCTCTTGTTTATGGTGTGCCTGCTGCTGCTGCTCTGCATGTCTGGGCCTTGTATGTGTAACTCAGGCTGGGATTCCTTTCTAGGCTTCGCACAAAGTCACCGTCAGCAGCACAGAAATGGATCTGCCTCTGACTGTGACCCAGCGGACGTCCCCTCGGCTGACGACCCTCGACCCTTTGCAGTTTGCAATGGAACAGAATCTGCCTGCCTTTACGTCCTACGTTGAGGCTGAGCGGGTGAACAGGTTTCTCCTTTTTGTTGGGATGAATGGTAGGTTTGGAGAGATTCAATGGACATGAATGGGAAAAGTGCCCACCAGAGAGCTTAGAGGCAAACCACTAGTGACCGCTGCGGCAGATTCCTGGCATTTATATTCCAGTTCCTCCTGCACCATTTTACCCTAGGCTATACAACCTCAGTTTTATTTTAGGAATGCACCAAATCAAAACATTTTCAGCATGAAAATTATGCTTCCAAGGGGACTGAAATGGTACATACACACCGGCCAACAGCATATATTTGTTAACAGATATTTTGCTGCTTCACTGCCATTTTCCCAAACCCTTTTGAGAGCTTATTTCCTAGTCGTTATGTGATCCCAGCCAATCAGGATTCACGTAGGGATGATAAATGGCGTCAAACAGGCAATCAGCTGTGGCTACAATGGTAAAATCAAGAAGGGCAAATGAAGCCGCATTGCCTTTATTCTGAATGCTGAGCCCATGGAAGAGAATAGGAAGGCGTGCCATATTATGTCAGAATGTGCAGACCTTTCAATTGGGTAACAGAAGGAATAGATATGGGGTTGCCAACGTTCTTGGGCCCATGGGCAAGTCTGCAACAGAGAAATTGTTGTGAGTACCCTGCCCTCCTCTCCTGCAACCTATTCTATGGGCTCCAATAGAATGCTTCTTCTGAGCCTAATTTCAGTGGTGGGAGGGGAGGGTACCCTGCAGACTGTAGAGAAGGCCTCTCTGAGCTGGGCACATGTGTTCCTTCAGGGGCCACACTGGTGATGCTTGGAATAGATCATATTCTGATTAACAGCAGCAGCGTATAAGGCATATGATTGCATCACACCCACACACCTGTATTTCCTTTGTAGGGGCCACACCTCCTCTAGAAGAGCCAACACTCTTTTGGCCCATATTTCTGCATCCTCCCAGTTTCACAGCCTCTCAACAGGACTTTGCAGAAGCCAACACAGCTGGCTGGGAGGTGACAAGGCAAGACTTTGGGGGAGAGGATGGTTCCGTTACCTACCCACCGTCTACAGCCAAAACAGAGGGGACAGAATCTGTCTTGTGTCTTGGGGACCAGAAGCCTATTCTTGAAAACCAGGACACTCAGAGAGTGAGTAGCCAAGGATGACATCTCCAGATGGACAGAGGGAATCTATTTCCTACAGTGCCATTTCATGTGGATGTGGATGGGCGGGTATTCTCTTGCCATTGTACATCAATACCGCTCCACAGACCTGTTTTTCTCCTGCAGGTCTCCTGTGTTTCACCTTCTCCAACCCAGATATCTCCCTCAGAAGCTGCAACGGCCTTTCAGGATCCCCACCTTCACCTTGGCAATGCCCTCCTTAACCTAGAGCTCTACAACACAGAGGCTTTTGCCAAGCAACTTGGACCTTTTGTCGTCTCAGCCAACAGCCTCGTCTTTGTGGAGGTAAAGCGGACGAGGAATATGCAAGAGCTGGCATTGGATGCAGCAGTTACACGCCAGAATCTTGTCCCTAAGTGATTCCTCCTCTGTCCAGAGATCTGGTGGTTTGCAGCACTCCCTGTCTCTCTCAGAGCCTCAAACAGGGCAGTTGACCTGCTTGTTGCTTTATGGGGGGTGATAAACTTACACTGCAGCTCTCAAAGGGATGAAGCAACAGGGGTGATTTGCCACCACGTTTTAGCAGCTTAGAAGGGCAACATGCATCCCAGGGAAGCGAAACATGCATCTGTAAGCAAAAGAGCAAGGAATAGACTAGGCAGATTTCATACTGAGGCCCAATTCAAGGCCCAACTTTATGGTTGGTTGGCAATGAAAAAATAGGTATAAAAAGAGAATTCCTGGATGCCAAGAACCAAGTCTGGGGCAAGTATTCTTTGGTGAGAGAACCCCAGCAGAAATTTAAAATAACAAACACCTAGCAAAGTAAAGCATGGAAATATAGGTTGTCATTCTTAGAATATAACTTTCTAAGTTCCTTCCAAAATTCCCCTCTTCTCTTAGCATAGAAAATACCATGTGTGGGGCAAGTTAAAAATGGTTTACTTACAAACTCTCCAAAGATCAGATTCATGTGCTTTTCAATGCAGCATTCAGAAAACGTCGGCAGCAAAACTTGCACTTGTGTTTGCAGACTAGATGGTGTTTCCTTTTTCCTCCAGGCTTCCTTGGCAACCTATGACTCGTCTCTCAGCTTCACCATCCAGAAGTGCTTCATCTCTAGCTCCTCAGATGCCTCAGAGGCCTCGGTGTATCTGCTGGTCCAGCATGGCTGTCCCGTGGCAGCCGCCCAAGTCAGGCTGTGGAAACCCGAGCTGCCAGGCCAGGCCCAGGCGTTGCCTCTGGGGTACCAGGAACGCCAGCGACTGAGCTTTGTGTTGAAACCCCGGTCCAATGCCTCCATCCACTTCTTGCACTGCCATCTGACCCTCTGCAGCAGGGGGTCTCCGGACCCCACCAGACCCGAGGTCGCAGTCCCCAAGGTCTCTGGCTCCCTGGGCTAGGGAACCCTGTCTTCTAGCAGCTATCTGAGGGCCTGATAGCGCTACTGCTTCAGAATAGGCTCGCCTGATTGGGGATGCTTATGGAGGAAACTGATATGCCACAGCAAGCTCTCCACTTGGCCCAGAGGTAGCCAAAATGGTGCCCTCTGCTCGATGATGACACTGGCTTCATAATTCCCAGCACCTCAGCTAGCATGGCCATTGGCCAGGGGGGAGGAAAATTGTAGTCAACTGGTATCTAGGGGGGCACCATGTTGGTTACCCCTTAGCTTATTATTACTGCCTCCTCTGAACAGCAGTATCTCTCAAGCAGAGGTCTTTCCTTTGATATGTTTGACTGGGGGTTGAATGTGGGCCCTTCTGTGTGCTTTGCCCCTCAGCTGTGACTGGCCCCTTCCAGAAATCATTGGTCCATCTCTGTTCTGAGGGAGGAAGGGGTGGTGCCTAAGAAAAGATGGAATAAAGAGGAAAGCGAAACCCATTGGAGGGGTGGAAACCCTCTGGCATGGGCCTGTGCAAAAGAGCCTCCTAGTTAGCTGTAGAAATGAGCTGGCTGGGCTTATGGAGAAGCAGGTGGGATGTAACTGGGCCAAGGCCTACCTCTCACTGTGGGATGAGGCACTCTTCTGAGGCAGGTTTTTGTTTCAGTGTCGGTCTGAGAACGAGGCCTGCAGCGGAGAAGAGGAGGCGGTCCCAAGCCGCTTCCAGCGCACCATCACAAAGCCTATGCTAGTGACTGTGGAGACTCCGCTCCGAGCTGCCTTTCCTGGCCCGAAACCAGGTACTTTCCTGTGGGTTCTAGATAGCAGCCAGGAGAGAGCAGTTGGCTTGAAGGCCTTGCAGTTCAGCACCCAGGCTCCATGTTGGCGAGGACTGCCCCACAGACTGAGTGAGGAACTGAAAGAAACCAATGGGGGAGTCCTGATTGCTGGGGAGATGGAAGTGTCTTGGTGTGCATCTCTCCAGAGCAGAGGTGGTGGACCTGTAGCCCTCCAGATATTCTTGGACTTCAGCTCCAATCACCTCAAGCCAGCATGGCCAATGGCAAGGGATGATGGGTCTTGTAGTTCACCAGCATCTCCTACCCAGGAGATTGATGCATTGGATCTCACCATGCTACAAGCCCAGACTTTGCCAGTGGCATCTTACATGTCCAACCTGAGTGAAGCAAAGTAGCAATGATGGGCAGAGTTATGCACTCGTTTCTTTTCTCCCCCTTGCTACCCGGAGGCTATTTTCTTCAGACACTCCCTCAGATTCTCTGTTCCTTCCTTGACTTTGGTGTCTTTTTCTGCAGCTAATGTCCCAGACAAACAAGGAAAAGCACCAAAGGATGCAGCCCACAAGCGGAAGACTCAGGTAGTCCGAAGTAAGTAAACATCCCCATGCTCTCTTGCTGGCCTTGTTTCCCGGGGATTTGGGGACTGAAATCGGTTTTAGACTGGGATTCTATGCCTGGCTCTAGGGGAAAAAAACAAAAGTGGAGTTGAGGATTCCTGCTGCCGTGGGATGGAGCAAGAACTCTGATCCTCAGACTTTTTCATTCTGTATTACCCCATTTCGGGCCCTGGCCCATCTCCCCTTCCTGGACAGAGAGTGAGAATGAATTTTCGTGCTCTTTCTCCACACATCCTCCCCATTTCCCGCTTCTCTGTAGCTGCAGCTGCACCAGGCCAGACGGTCCCCGCAGTAATTGGGATAGCTATTGCAGCCTTCCTCATCGGCATCTGCCTCACTATTGGGCTCTGGTTCATTTACACCTATACAGGTGGGTAAGAGGAGGGTCCCCTCAGTGCCGTAGGTACCATCTATTTTACTTGAATGATTGATTTTTGGCAAAGCCTGGGGGAGCACACCTTAGCATTTCTGTAAAGGTAGACCTGGCCTCATGTCCGAGATGGGAAAACTCCACATTATAGATCATGACACCTTTCATCAACCTATTGCCTTCCAGCTGTTTTGGATTTTAGCTCTCATCACTAGCCAGCCATGCTTGCTGGGCCTGGACCTGGAGTTGTTCTCTCAGGCATCTGGAGGGCACCAGGTTGGGGCTGGTTGGCTTCTGCCAACTGTCTGCCTCCATCTCTTCCGTCAGAGACAGAATATGCATTATTCAGTCACATGTACACAGGTTGAGTTACAGTAGGGCATGGATCTTGGGATGGAAGCTGGCAGCCAAATGATCCCCATTGCAGTTGGCTTCTAGGAAGGATCATAGAGTGGGAAACATGACCTTTAGGCGATCGAAGATGCAGCAGCTGAAATACATATTGGAATCAATGTTACAAAAAAGTCTGGAGGGGGATTATGTGTCTGGGAAATTTGCATCATTATTCATATTGGTCTGCCTTTGCACAGTTGTACTTGTCCACCCATCCACCATGGAAAAAAGAAAAAAGAAAGAAATAGAGACAGAACAAATAGGATGATAAAAAGGCCAGACAGTCAAAGGAGGAAAGTAAAGGTCAGAGGGGAGGGAGAGGAATTTATGTGCACATCCATGATATTGATCCCCGTCTGCTTTTTATTTCTGGTTATTTTTTATTATTAGACAGTGCACATGCATTTTCACACCTTTCTCTGAAATGAGGCGGTCTGAACAAAGCTTTAATTACTAAATTTTAATGCCAGCCTTGAACTCGTAGGTGAGTCGGCTTCCGGGAGGAGGAGCCAGCCTGCAGCTGAGACAGGTAAGGTGACACATTGGCTTTTGAGAAATCCTTCATTTGAGCAGAGGCTTTGATTCTGCACTCATTTCCATCTCTGGCTGTGAATGGAATCGGTGGTGCACGCTTATATTAACTTTTAATTATTTTTTAATGTTTAATTGTTTCAAACTGGTTCTTTAATTGATAATTTCAACATTATAAGCACCTTAGATGTTTGACTACAACTAAGCAGTATACAAAATTTGTTAAATAATAATGAATGCATATGGGTGTCCAGTTCAGCAACCACAGGCACATATGCACCTTGAGACCTTCCTGGTGCCTGCAAGTTCCCTTCCCTCTGCTGAAATAAGTCACCTATTGTAGCTAATATAAGGCAGGGAGAGTTATCTTCCAGCTATACCTGGAGATGCTGGTGAACTGAACCTGGGACCTTCTGCATACACCTGGACTCGTTTGAAGCATCCATAATGCAAAGGCACTTGGAGTGGGCAGAGCCAGGAATTCAAGAAAGCTGTCCTTACTACAGCAGGTTGCTGTCTGCAAGAGAGCCAGTTCATTGCCTCCAGGATTAGCCAGTTTTAAATATACCCAAGCTAGGGCAGTTTTGCTTCATCTCAATACTTAAAAGTGGAACATTATAAATATGCGAAGACTTGGAGAAACTAACATATGCAAATAGGAAGAGGGTGCATTTGTTTACCTCTGGAAGGGGGTTAGTGTGGTGGTGAGATGGAGGGTTGCAGTGCAATTGGGGGCGGGTGGGGGCACTGCTGCATTTTCTTTCTTCCTCCTGCTAGACCCTGTAGGACCATCTGCTCCAAAGCGTGAAGACACTTTGTCAGCTCCAGCTGCAGCTGGCCCTGCACGTCGCACGTGGTGCTCTACCCTAAGAAGCCTCTACCGAAGAAGGTAACTAGATTTCAAAAAGTTCATGGGAGGAATGAATTTGGAGAATTGGAAGGGGATTATTTATTGACTTGGATCCTTCGTGCCCCCTGCATTTCCAGAGTTTGCCTCTGCAAATATGCAGGCTTATGCAAGTAGCGTGGTGATGTTTTTGGGTGATTTTTGTTGATAATAATAATAATAATACAATAATTTATTATTTATACCCTGCCCATACGGCTGGGTTTCCCCAGCCACTCTGGGCTGCTTCCATCAAAATATTAAAATACAATAGTCCTTCAGATATTAAAAGCTTCCCTAAACAGGGCTGCCTTCAGATGTCTCCTAAAAGTCTGGCAGTTGTTTTTTCCTTTGACATCTGGTGGGACAGTATTCCACAGGGTGGGAGCCATTACTGAGAAGGCCCTTTACCTGGTTCCCTGTAACTTTGCTTCTTGCAGTGAGGGAACCGCCAGAAGGCCCTCGGCGCTGGAGCTCAGTGTCTGGGCAGAATGACGGGGGTGGAGCCACTGGACCGAGGCTGTTTAGGGCTTTAAAGGTCAGCACCAACACTTTGAATTGTGCTCGGAAACGTACTGGGAGCCAATGTAGGTCTTTCAAGACCGGTGTTATGTGATCTCTGCAGCTGCTCCCAGTCATCAGTCTAGCTGCCGCATTCTGGATTAGTTGTAGTTTCTGGGTCACCTTCAAAGGTAGCCCCATGTAGAGCGCATTGCAGTAGTCCAAGCGGGAGATAACTAGAGCATGCACCACTCTGGCGAGACAGTCTGCAGGTAGAAAGGGTCTCAGCCTACATACCAGATGGAGCTGGTAAACAGCTACCCTGGACACAGAATTGACCTGCGCCTCCATGGACAGCTGTGAGTCCAAAATGACTCCCAGGCTGCACACCTGGTCCTTCAGGGGCACAGTTACCCCATTCAGGACCAGGGAGTCCTCTATACCTGCCTGCCCCGTCCCCCCAAAACAGTACTTCTGTCTTGTCAGGATTCAACCCCAATCTGTTAGCCGTCATCCAATCTCCAACCGCCTCCAGACACTCACACAGGACCTTCCCTGCCTCTGATTTGAAAGAGAGATAGAGCTTTCAGCACATTTATTTTAACCTTTAATGGACTTTTGTTGCATATTGTACTTTGTTGTCTCTGCAACTCACTTTGGGACTTGAAGCAATACACCAGTTGAATAGATAGAATTGTTCATGGGATGCATTCCATGTCTAACTGAGAGATGGAAGTCAAAACTAGTAGGGATTTTGTATTTGAAACTGGTCCTTTTGTTGTTCGTCCCATATTAGCATTCACAAATGAGATACTCCAGACCGAATGGAAGGAAATTTTTTAGGGTCAGTTATAAAAACATGCCTCTGCAGCTTTGAAACACTGCAACTGTTAGCTGATGAGTCTGTGGTGGTAGCACAATAACAAATATGTAAAATGTTTGCTGGACGAGAGAGGAATGGGGAGCTTGGGTCCGTAATAGGTTGGCAAGAGAGGCAGGCAAAGAAGGGCCAGTGGGGAAGTCTAGCCTGTCATCCTCACTGATTTATCTATCTTGTAGGTTCTAGGATGTTTTTCCTGTGACCAAGCACCTGTTTCGGTGAATCCGCTTGCATTCCCCCGTACCAGCAACTCTTTCAGGCCACAACATCTTTATGGCTTCAGTCCAGCAGCACAACCGATTCTGAATCAATACCTTTCGACACTGGAAAACCTCAGACTTTAAGCTTTGGCTTAAATAAGCAATTGTGTTTTCTGGCAGTTGTATGGGATTTTCATTGCTTTGGGTAGCTGCCTGGAGAGAGCTGTGCTGCTTCTTCATTGAGTTTTGCTCTTCGTTTCTGCATTGCTGAGTGTGAACTAAAAGGCAAACTCAGGCTCAAATCTTTGCAGAATGTTTGCACTACTGCCCCTCACCTTTGGGGAAGCTGTTAGCTACCATTGTGGCCTTGCAATCGCTCTTAGGCCTGCTTCAGCACTTTGGAAGAAGAAAACCATTGTTGCATTTGGCTGACGTTGCCATTGGGGATTTGATTGTTGCATCCTATCTGACTATAGTAATACCTTGTACTCTCTTTGTAGGAATGTTATTTTGGGATATAAATGCTAGTTTTCATGCCATTGCCCAGCTTCACAAGGAAACAAAGCTGATTGCTCCACAAAACGATTCAAATTCTGAAACCTTTTGGGTCTTTTTTTTTAGTTAACCACCTTGCAAATGATAGTTTCTCCAGTTTTATTAAACAGATGTGCAATAGAGTTGCTGAGGCTCTTTCAATAGGCAGTCAAGTGCCCCCATTGCCTTTAAACACCACTTGTTCCCTGCTTTGTCTACAGAAGCCTGATTCAATAGGATAGACAACTGGAACGTATGTACTTGAGAATTTGGCTGGAGACAGAGTAAACAGCCTCTAAATCTTGTGTGTGATCTTAAGTGTGGAGAGAAAAGGTGAATGTTGCTTTTGGTATATTTTCTTCAGCAAATACAGAAATAGCATGCAATCAATTCCACCCATAAACTGTGCTACTGTGGGAAGGAAATGCTGTATTTTGGGCAGGGATGGTGAACGTGTGATCCTGCTGGACTCCAACTCCCATCTCCTCCAGCAGACTGGGGTTGGTGGGAGTTGGAGTCCAACCTCCCTGATGTTGCCAGAGATTTTGCATGAAGCTTGGGAGTCTTGTGTCACCGTATTTTTCGCTCTATAAGACGCACCAGACCACAAGACACACCTAGTTTTTGGAGGAGGAAAACAAGAAAAAAAATATTCTGAATCTCAGAAACCGGAACAACAAGAGGGATCGCTGCGCAGCGAAAGCAGCAATCCCTTTTGTAGTTCTGGCTTCTGGGATAGCTGCGCAGCCTGCATTCGCTCCATAAGATGCACACACATTTCCCCTTACTTTTTAGGAGGGAAAAAGTGAGTCTTATAGAGCAAAAAATACAGTACTTCAGGAAAGAGACATTGCTTGTATTGCAGAGCTTTCAGCCTGATATGCTGTCATGTTTGTAAGTTTTGTGAATTAGGTGGATACCATGATCTAGGCCTCCACGCAGCAAACTCCCACATGGGCCGGTAGTACAAGTCTTTTGTAGAGGAAACTATGCGCTGGGCGCCCACCCAATGCACGCAGGTGTGGTTTTCTCAGTGACTAACACCCACCATCACCACTGAAGTCGGAGACAGAATTATTAAGACAGTGTAAATAGTTTATTTCGTCATTTTTTTGAAAGTACAGATATTATTTTGTACAGCAGTATTTGTTTTAAAATGGGTGTGGGCTGAAAAGAATGGCAGTTTATATTCTGAGGAGCAGAGAAGGGACACTGGTACATAGTTACACTAAACGCATGACTTGAGGAACAGTTTGGGGACTATGAGGAGAGAAAGATTCCTTCCAACCTGGGAAGCCCTAGCACTGCAATGTGCACATTCCCTTTGGATAGATGCAGCTGTGGGCTAGTCCTGGAGCCGTGCAGAATACAGGGGCTTTCAACCACATAGTCATTTCATACTGTTTCACAGGATGGTAGAAAATTGGAGCTGGATTTTTAGCTAAAGGTGTGGCAAATGTGTACCACTAACTCCAATGCTGCTTTATATCAGCTGGGCAACTGCTCCCACTGGATTGGAGCAATTCTGGATTTTAAGGTGAACTTCAGAAACTACCACACAAACAGCAACAATATTTTACATTTTTTTTTACGCACCCAGAAGAAGTCTTTCTTTAAAACAGTGGCGACGTAGGGGTAGAAGGAGCATCAGACTCACTACAGAAAACCCTAAAATAGTAACCAACCTGTAACACGGTGGTGTTTGTGTAATTATGACGTCTGCTAATACTCTTCAATGCTGAAAAAGAGTGCAGTGCTCAAATAAAACTCCTCAGCTGTGCTACCTTCTTAGTTCACTGTTCCTTTCTTTTAAGGACTACTAACCTGTCTGGATGCATCGCTCCTCCTCATAGCAATGTCTGATGCAAAGTCACTCTGGTCAAGCTTAATTCTGGTACAGTGGTGCCTCGGAAGACGAACGCCTCGCAAAACGAAAAACTCACAAGACGAAAGAGTTTTCCGTTTTTGAGTCGTTCCGCAAGACGAATTTCGCTATGGGCTTGCTTCGCAAGAAGAAAGCCCATAGGGAAATCTCCGGGGACCTCTTTTAAAATGCTGGCGGTTGGGAGCAAAGACTTTCGCCCACCGCCGGCCTTCAGAAGAGGTCCTGGACCTCTTCTGAAGGCCGGCGGGGGGCAAAAGTCTTTGCTCCCCCTGCCTGCCTTCCCGGGACAGCGGAGAAGTCTCCGCTGTCCCGGGCGATCTTAAAATGCTGGCGGGCGGCAGCGAAACCTTCGCTGCCGACCGCCAGCATTTTAAAAGCCCCCGGGACAGCGGAGACTTCTCTGCTGTCCCGGGCGATCTTAAAATGCTGGTGGGCGGCAGCGAAGCGTTCGCTGCCCCCCGCCAGCATTTTAAAATCGCCCCAGGACAGCGGAGGCTTTGCTGCCGCCCACCAGCATTTTAAAATCGCCCCGGGACAGCGGAGAAGTCTCCGCTGTCCCGGGGGCTTTTAAAATGCTGGCGGTCGGCAGCAAAGCCCTCCTGTCCCCGGAGCTTGCGGGGCGGGAGGTGGGGAGAAGGGCTTTTCTTCCCACCGCCAGGCTTCAGAACAGCCTTCTGAAGGCTGGCGGTGGGAAGAAAAGCCCTTGTCCCCCCCCCCAGCCTTCAGAAGAGGTCGGGGGACAGACTGTCCCCGGACCTGGTCGGAAGGCGGTTTCCATAGGAACGCATTGATTGATTTTCAATGCATTCCTATGGGAAACCGTGCTTCGCAAGACGAAAAACTCGCAAGAAGAAAAAACTTGCGGAATGAATTAATTTCGTCTTGCGAGGCACCACTGTACCACTAAAAGCACCCTTCCATCATAACAACATCACCATGGTTTGTGTGTGGGCATGTGTGTCGAGTCAGTGCAACAGGCCAGGTCCTAAGTGAGGTTATATTACCAGCTCCCACAGAGATCATGGATGTGTGTGTGGGTTAAATAGTTGTTGCAGATTGATGTAACATTCATTCTAAGGCAGACATGGCCAAACTTAGCCCTCCAGCTGTTTTTGGACTACAACTCCCATCATCCCTGGCTAACAGGACCAGTGGTCAGGGATGCTGGGAACTGTAGTCCCAAAACAGCTGGAGGGCCAAGTTTGGCCATGCCTGTTCTAAGGGCACTGGCAATGGATCTGTGGACTCCAGCTCTGCAGCTTGCATTACACATACATAGCAGCAGCCTTAATGTTGCAGCAGAAAAATGTGTCTTACTCTCACTCTTGCCCTAGGGCCAGGCTCTCTTCTTACTTTTTTAAAAATGGCACATGTGTGTTTTATGCATACAATTTTTCCACCATGTGGAAAAAAGATATCAAACATTAAAAAGCAACACAGCAAACCATTTCAGGGAACAATGTGTGTTGGCAATTTCGCAGGTGCTAACCAAGTGGGACCCACAAGCACTAACTTGGTCCATCCATGTTCCAGACATAACCAGGCAGAGCCAGTTGCCACTTTCTCTAGGACAGAAAATGTACAATTAGGTGGATAGCAGTGCTGAAACTCTTAATTTAGCTCTGCTCCTCGCAGTTATTCTTTCTAGAATAACAAACTAGACTCTGGGGAGCACACACTCATTCCTTCAATCCTCTAGTTCTGCTTTGTCTCCAGCAGGATACTGCCTTTGCAGCTTGTACACTGGGACCTAGTCTGGGAAGTTCTGTTTAGTATAATTAACAAAGGGCCACATGATTTATTCACAAGAGTACACTCGGCCTCTCCCGCTTCTATAGAAGGGGATGCTGTGGTGCACAAGAAGGGGATGGATGCATTCAAGGTAGAGAATAACTAGAAGTCAAGTGTCAGAGGTGGGAGAACAGAAGCAGCACTCCCAACCCCGGTCTAAACACAGCACCACATTGTTTTCCCTCGATGATGAAGGGAAAGAGCTACGATTAAAGTGCAAATTGAACCTTGTCAATAGCTAGTAAAGATCACACACAGGCACCATCTCCAGCCTACCCGTCCCAGGAGAACAGACTGGAGCAAGACATAACCACCTGCTCTAGGATGTTGGTTTTTCTGCAATGGTGGCACCACCGTTTGCTGGTACGTAGTATAGGAATCTGTAGGCAATCCAACACAGAAGGCCAGATTCCTGATAACCTGCTGCTGTTAGAGATACAGGAGGGTCACAGGTGTAGCTCAAGAGAAGAGAAAAGGTCTGTGCAAACTTATTTTAGGGTATCCCCATCCTTTAAAATCCATTCACAATATTTAGTGTTATAAAAATGTAATACAAAAGTCAAAGCAAGATTGTGAGGGTGGCAAAGTGGGGGGGGGGCAGGTGGCTTAGCATGGCCTTTCTATGCCTCTTGGAGCAGAAACCCTTGCTCCAAGACACAAACACAACGCTGCCTGAGAGGGTTTTGGGGCTGCCAGACTGGGGGGCTTCAAATCTTCTTCTATCCTCTATGCCAAGGCAGAAGCTTGCTTTGTAGTCCGTGTGTGGATAGTATGCAGAAGACCAGCACTTCCAATATGCAAGTATCCATCCCATGAGCCCCCAAAACACACCATTACCTTTTAAGCCAATGATTACCACAAGAAATAGGAAAATCCCTTTGAGATCAATACAGTACTTTTTTGTTGTTACCTTGATTTTAAAGGGATTGTTTTTAATGACCTTAAGTAGATGTGCATGAGAAGTAAATCACTTCAATATAAGCAACAAGGTTAGGGTTTTCTTAAAAAAAAAATCAGCTACATGACCTAATGTTATTCAGCTCACTGGGGATTATCCTCACCTAGCAATTAGCCAAACTCAGTGGGGAGAAACAGGCTGCATCAGCTTGAAGCAGTGGATCGAGTCCCTTGTGCTCAGTCACAAATCATAGCAAAGTTAGAATTGCCCTTGCCCTTAATGCTTGTCATTCTTCCATGGTACCAAGGAGTCAAATTAGGCTTTAATTAGGAATAAACTACTGTTTTAAGAGCTTTACTGCATGTTATTCAAAATAATTATTTCATCATATGGTTGTATGTTGCTCGCTCTGAGCATCAAAAGGATATAAATAAATATTCCTTGCCGGAGTGCTCGTCCCTTACTCTCCTGTTGTTGCATGGATCTAGTCTGAGAGATCAGACAACTCTGGGAGAAACCACTTATTTTGAGCACACTGTGATTTCTTTTACAATATGGAAGGGAAAACGCAAATTTCCTTTTAGTGTGTTTTGCAGGTAAAGCAGAAGTCGGAGTAATCAACTATGTAGCAACTTTTGGCAAAACATATGGCCCTGTTCTACAGCCATAGTCTAGAAACCACTGCAACAGGGGTGACAGAAAGGTGAATAATTAATGTAGTATTACCAATGTCACTTCAGGGACAGTCATGCTAGAACAAACTTAAAAGTAAGGCCTGCACATCCAAGTGAATTTCATATGCAAAACAAATCCCAAACCCTGACAAAAACAGGCCAAAGAAGCCGCTTGGATTCGATTCTAACAAAAATATTCTCCCATTTACTCCAATGTAAATCTGAAACACTAAAGTCAACGGGGTTTTACTCCAGATTTAGAAACAGCAGCGATTAATGATCTTCCTAACATGTAGCCTTGGAGGCAGCGAGCATTCGGGTAGCACTACACAAACAAGTATCAACAACAATTGCTAGGAACTATGATGCACAAACTGGCAAACAGTTTCACAAGCCATCCAAAACTGCAAACATGTGCCCACTGCTAGCAAATAAATGAAATCAGACTGACACAAGGAGATCAAAGCAACAGTTTGGGCTGAACTCTTGTTTGGACCACATACTATGCTGCTGGATTGAGGGGGTGGGGTTGAGGGGAGACTGAAAAATGGTACAGAAAACCACAGAGATTTGGCAATACGGTGCAGCATGTATATATAGAATACATCTATTAAAATATGCAAGGTTATACCAAACTGGAGCCTTTCCCCCAGGCATATTCATATAAGTACATACATAATACTTCAGGGCCACCCATGTGACAGGCTGGGTGCAGGTTTGTCGTCCTGCTTCTGCAGGGTAAATGCTGGGTTAACCTCACTAGAGGAATCCAGAGTTGGGGAGGTAAAATGACCAACAAGGCTTGCCTGTAGCTAAGAGGCATGCAGCATAAAATTTGGGGAGAAAACCAAAGGAACTCTTCCTTCAACTATGGACCAAATGTATTGCAAATCCATGCCAAGTGAAAAATCATGGAGACCTCTTTCAGAAAGAGAGGCCCATGCATCTCATCCTGAACCTTCATTAGATTTATTGTTGCAGGTTTTAGAAATTAGGCAAAAACAAATGGAGCATAAATTTGTACAAGCTTGGTATAAGGAAACAGATGAAAAGTATGCCCATGACAACAAATGCTTCTCCTTCCCTAAAAACAGAAGCATCCCACAGTTTAGGAACTATCTGGTACATTCTCTATAACCAGGGATGTTGCCTAATGAAGCTGCCTACCTCCTCAGCAGGGTGGAAATCCTACATCTTCAGAATTCGGCATCCTTCACCGCCTCCTTCACAGACCTTCTGTGGAACCCCTCCTAACACCAGCTGGTCTCCACCTTCATTTGCAACAATGCCTTTATTCAGACACCTTGCAAGACACAATACATTTCGCACACCAGCACGTCCTTGAGATCTCTCCGTCACCAGTGGAAAGAAAGTGTGACACGAGAGAGGCCTTGCTGATTTTAATCTTGGACTCTATTGTTAAGAGGGGAAGGAGCCAATTATCAGGCTTCCTCCCCGTGTTGAAAACAAAGAGAAGGACCATGAATTGCAAATACAGAGTGATTTTTGGCTGGACCAAATCAGCACCATGCCGCTTCCCAAAGCATTGCTCCACGGGTTACCTCTAGCTGGTGTGGCTATGTCAGCATTGGCCATGGCAAGCGTTCTTGTTGAGAAATCAATGTTTCTCCCCCACTACCCCAAACAGAGGTCTGCTTCTGTGGAGCAGAGCTACACATGATACAAGCCTGTCTGAAGGTTCACATACGTGCAGAGGCAGGAGTGGAAGGGGCACATAGGGTTAAGCACACACCTCCCACTTGATCTCCCCTGCAACCCGCCCATCCCCAACCCGATAGTGTTAGGAGGCAAACAGTGAGCTTGGAGCCTCATGTTTGCTTCTTATGTAGTTCCACTACAAGAGTCTGTGCATTTTCACTAAAATAAAAAAAGAATTTTTTTAAAAAGGGCAGAACCTGATGTCCAAGCAGCCCAAAATTCTCATCTCTTTGTTTGTCAAGAAGAAAATACTCTTCAGGCAATTCTCTCAGGTGCCTAAAAATTCAGCCACTTGCACTGGCCTTGTAAATCATGAACAGACTAAAAGTCCAATAATGGACCCTTCGTTCCTTAAAAAAAACTCCTAGGGTTTGGGTGCTTTGATGGACTGCCACCCCCCTGAAGCAAGCCAGGCATTGGTAGAAACTTTGCAAGAACCAATGTTTGAAAAGATAGCCATAAAGGTGGAATTGAGAAAGAATACTGCATCAGCTCACACAATTCCAGGCAGGGAATTCCGGAGGAACTGTCACTGACCATATGGATTAAGGCAACGCCTAAACTCCTGTAATGGTTGCAGCAGAACAGAACTTCAGGCAAAGTGAGACACAGAAGTTGCCAAGGGGAACCCTTCCCTTACCACAATTAAATAGAAAAGATGTCATACCTTTAGCTACAAAAGCAGTTCTGGCTGCTCCTTAAAAGCCCTCAAGATAATTAAACTTAAAGCTTTATGCCAAGCCTCCTCTAAGGGAGACGGATTGGCATTGCACAGTATAAATAAATAATATACACAGAAACAAAAATAAAATCTCTCTCTCTCGATCCAAGCCACCTCTTCAGAAGCACTCTCTCTATCCACCCATCCTTTCCTGGGCTGAAAACCACAAACGAGTGTGGAGGCATCCAACCTTCTTACCTCTCTGCAGAACAGCAGGGTAGGGGATCGCATATAAATAAAAGGAAGACAGACCCCTCTCATCTCTCCAAGCACAGCAAGGAGACAGAGGTTCATTACTACTGGACTGCATTTTATAAAACCAGCGGCCTGGTTGCTTCTGCTGTCCCTTCTAAGTTCTCAAGTGTGCAAACCTTTGTGTGTAAGGAGGAAGTTTTTTTAAAAAAGGGGAAAAAAAGGTGTGAAAATGGTGGGTGGGAGGGTGGGGTGTGTGAATGAGGTCAATACATGGATTTGAACTACCAGTGACAATAGAGCTGGAAAAAAAGGCAGTGCAGACAATGATCAACGGAGGTGGCCCATGTAATGCAGGCCAGCTGTAGGACTGTCCGTCCCCCATGCCATCTCGGGGGCACGGTATTCACTGGGTAAGGGGGCCCTCCGCTCCGCCTTGCGTGATCTGTCTATGACCTCCACACCCTCAGTACAGCGTGGCCAGAGGGACCTGGTGCCTTCCAGACAGACTTGGGACGGCAGCACCACTTCCTCATTTGCTCAGGGCTTCTTCGAAGATGATCTCGCCATTGGGCTCGGTGGCAGAGGCAGGGTCGTCCGCATCGCTATCCGTGGTGCCGTCGCTCTCCTTGCCGGAGCTCTCGGCCCCCCGTAGAAAGTGCGTGTTGTGGGGCGACAGCGGATACAAGACATCCTGCAGGGCACCTACCACCATGGGGCTGGTCAGCAGCTCCTCGTCGGAAGAGTGCAGCGAGTCGTCATCCACCGCCAGGTGACTCACAATGTGGATGCCGTCAAAGCCCATGGAGTCCTCAAAAGGCTTCTGTCCCTTCATCAGCCGAATCTGCAGGGAGAAGGCGTTAGGGCAAAGATAGGAAGGGGGGGGTGTCCTGCGAACCCTCAGAGTACAACTCCCACTGTCTCTGACCCTTTGGCCATGCTGGTTGGGGCTGACGAGAGTGGGGAGCCCCATGGTATCCAGAGGGACGCAGGTTCCCCACGACTGCACTGGGACAGCCATGATGGACTTGGCACTCTGCCTAATGGGACCGTTAGATTACATTAACTCTGATGCAGAGAAAGAACCCAGGGTGGAGAGGACGCCTCACGCAGAACATGCACAAAAAGCTCCTGAAAACAGTGGAGAGCCTGTGCTCAGGGAGTAAGTTGAAATGGAAGCCGCGCCCCAGATCAGAGGTTTATCAAACAACATATACAGTCTCCACCCTGGTTGGAACAGAAGAGCACATTTGTCTGTGTTACATGAACATCCCCTCCCAGGGTTGGCAAGGGCTGTGAAAATGAATAACTTTTGAGAGGGAAGACTTTTCCGCAGGTGTGCGAGAGGCAGAGATGGCTAGCTTTACAGCAAGAAAAAGGGGATTATTTTTTTTACATCACATAGGTGTGGGGGGTAACTTACTCTGCACCTTCCATCATTACCCTAGTTCTCACCCACTGAAATCTCCTTCCTATGCTCATGGTGAGAGTCTTTGGAGCTCCTTTGCAGTGAGTTCCAACTGGTAGCCAACCACCTGGTTGACTCGCACCTTAAAAGCTGACTTCTGATCTCTATCAGCTCCTGAGGAAATCAGCAGTTTTGTAAGCCCCAGTCGCTTATGTCTGTTCTCCAGCTGGAGGCCCTGCACAGAAATAGGCAGCTGGGGAGAAGGAATGGGGACACAGACGGAGGCGTATTTGTATTCTTCGATTGCAAACAATAAATATTAAATCTTCAAAAAGAAAAACAGGCAGCCGTGACTTGATGCAGGGTGCTAACGGAGGCCAGCAGAGAAGACACCAGAAGTCACACAACCCCAACCCCTTGGTGGATCCCTCCTCCCTTTCTCCCACTAGTTTGGGCTCACCTCTGCCTTGAGCTCATCAATCTGATCCTTGAGTTCACGGATGTACTGGGAGGAGTCGGAGTTGTTGAGCTGGCCCTGAATCATCCCTTCTTCCCTCTGTGTGGAAGAAAGAAGAGATGGGAATTTACAAGGGTCGGATGCTTGGCAGAGAAGGAAGTGGAGAGAAAGCACATTTGCTTCCTCCTTCCCTTTGTATGCATTATTTCACAGACTGCACAAATGAGCAAGTACTTTGTCTACATGATACAAATTTGAAACAGTCCGTGTGGCTGATTGTTTACGTTTTGAAAAAGGGAACTGGAGAAACAAGAGAGTCTGCATTTCCTATGCATAATTCCTTATGTAAACAAAAGTTCAGGTCGCTTAAAAAAACACAAAAAAACTTGTAAGCTGTGTAAGCAGAACTAAAGAAGGGGACCAACACTGGCTACCCCTGGTTTAAATAATGACAAATAAACATGTTTTCATCCCCCAGACCTCTCAGCTAGCTGCAGACACAAAAGGAACAACAGTTCATACAAGAAGAAACAAATACTCCTGGGGGAAAATGCTGCTTTAGGTACAAGGCAGGTTCATTGCTCCTTATGCTCCTTGCTCCCTAACCTGGATCTCCAGCTCAGCAATCCGCTGCCGCATCTCTGCCACTGCAGCCATGCTGTCGGCTTCTCGCAGGCGCACAGCCATCACCTCTTCTTTGCTCTGAAACAGAAAATGCAAGCCAGTGGCAGCAGCCCAGTGGAGTGCAAGCAACAAGGTCAGCCAATGGGGGCGGTGGCCAGTACTTTGGGGTTGGGGGGGATGATCACCTGCAGTTTCTTTTGGCAGCTGAAGATCTTATGAGACCCACAATGAGTCACTAAACTACCTGGAATTCCCAGGAATACACACAGGACACTGACTAAAATCCAGGACAGCGGCTAAAATCAAAGATGTCAGACATGCAGGAGCTCAGTCTCCTCTTCAGAATAAACAGACAAAATCTGGGCTCTCCATGGATGTGTTTGCATGTTATGGTAAATAGTCAATTGTTTTTCATGAATACACAAATGGGCACCCGCTTCCTTCCCTCCCTAGCATGAAGCCACAAATCACAATCTCTGGTTTAATGTTATATTGAAATGGGAACGGATGAAACAAACCACAACTGGTAAGCCAATGCAGGGCATCAGTGCCAAGGAACTGATTTGGAGGGTGGGGTGTATTCTGTAAATTTGCATGATTTCTGCTCTGAGTTCCTTGACTTCAGAGCAGCAGTGCAGCAAGATTCCTTCCTTGTCATACACGAAAGGCTTAAGGGAAAGCAGCCTATGTCAACTGCATGGCATTAGACCAGATCTCACCTTGCACTCGGATTCAGCATGCTTGCGCTTGGTCTCACTCAGCTGGGTCTGCAGCCCCTTGTTCTGGGCCGTAAGGTACTGGACCTTTTCGTGCAGCCCAGCACACTCCTGCTCCATCCGGTTTAAATGGTTGCTGTGGATCTGATCCTGGAATAAAGGCAAGAAGATACTTGGACACTTCCAAGACCAGACACGCTTATGACAAATAGGTTGGTGTGCACCATATTCTTACGTGGCACACTCTGAGTGTACTCAATAAGTGCCTATAATACAGTAGAAAACCCTATACTTTCATTGTTTGCATGTTAAAAAACCCGCAAACCAGGTCTTCAGTTAAGGAAATATGCTCACATTGCAAGTGGAAAGATCTCAAGTCAATTTCTAGCCATAAGAATAGATGGGAAGAAATTTTATTTTTTTCAAGGAGTCATAACTGCAACTCAACAACAACAACAACAACAGATTGTCACCTGGGTTTCAAGTTCCACCACCCTCTGACGCAGTTCACGGACTTCAGCTTGGGCCTGTGTCTCACGCAGACGGAGGCTCATCAATTCGTCTTGGAGGTCATTCATCGTGTTCTTGCGAGGAGAGTCCTTCCATCGCCCGCCTGTCCGGCTCAGGTGGGCCTAGAGTGAAGGAGACAGAAGGATAACCTTCAATATCTTAGTATAGGCATATGATGCTCATTGGTCTCAATACTCCCATGTGCTCTACTTTAAGACCATGCTATTTCCTTATATGCTGTGATTGCTTATATATCTAACTAACTTTTATTTAAAACCCTTGCTTGGTATGAGTATCAGATATACTGCTATGTAATTTACAGGTCAAGCCCTTGCAGCCTTCCATAAAAAAGGGGGTTACCATATGTCACCCAAACAGCAGCATGTAGGAATTCAGCAACAGGGACAAGGAAGCAGGGCACTGCTTTAGCGGGCCACCATTCCAGTGGATCATACCTGCCAATTGTCGTTGAGCTCCTTCACCTGCTGCTGCAGTTCCCGAAAGGATTTCATAGCCTCAGACTCCCGCACTTTCATAGCCTTCAGCTCTTCCTGAAGGCGGGCCACATTGTTTTCATCCGGAAGCAAGCTATTCTTCTGCCGAGGGAAGAGGGTTTGTGATATTGTTGAAGCATTTCAACCCACTCTGGTGCCCTAAAGTCTAAAATTCTGAAGAGTGCAATCAGGAAAACCAGACCTCTTTAAATATCATGCACGCTACCTAGAGTCCCAGGATGAATATACCCAATAAGTTCTGATGAGTTTTTTGAGGATGAATCTCACCCAAAATTGCTCTTTCCCTGCTATCTTCCTGTGACGACAATTTCTCCTGAATGCATCCTGATAAAATCCGTATTTAAACTGCCCTTGGAAAATGCAGTTTTCAACAGTTTTTTTGTAGAAACTACTGATGCAACCTCAAGGTGTATATTCAGAAAGGAAGACTAATCATAGAAGAGCAAACAAGAAAAGGTAATCTCTTGACTTTTCCTTGCTGAGACTGATAAGTGTAAATTCACCCCCCATAATACAATCTTCATCAACATGAGCATTGCAGAGAGGTCTGTATCAAGCTTTTGGGAGCTCAGGCCCTACTAGCCTAGGCTGCTTTCTAAAACATGCATGTTTCTGTTGAATGGTTTCTTTACATGTAAAGGTTCATCATTGTTCCACCCGATGTATGTGTCTTTAAGGGGCCAGAGCAAGGGCCAGAGCAAACTAACGAGACCCAGCTTTACAGCTGTGAAACATAGCAGGTGCTGCTGAGTTGTATTTGAGTAAGGTGTGTCAGCATCTGGGTGTAGTATATAAGGAGCAGCACCTAGCTCTGCCATTACCCTGGGGGATGGGTTGGTGGTTGGGTCTGGTTTGTTAATATATTTAGTGTTAATGGAGTTTTTGTTTTTCTTATTAAAACCTTCTTTAACTTATTTTTGAGTCCCTTCTTTTTAATGCATGATCTCCCCAGCAAGCTCTCTGCAGTGTCACTATACTGCAAAAAGCCAACATCTTTGGTTATGGGCCCAGCTGCTGAGTGGATGACTGCATATTTTTGGACTCTGAGAAAGGTTTGAAAACTCCTTCTCCTGTTAGCGTAGTTTTTGTGGGTCTGGAAGAGTTCCAGAATGGTTGACCGGGTTCCTGAAGCTGAGAAGGCTCTGGTCTTCCCACAGCTAACAGATGAGAACTATAGCTTATGGTCTTTTCGGGTGGAGGCGCTTTTGACCTCTAGAGAAGTATGGACCTATGTAACTGATGACCCTCCTGACCCTGTAACTAATGCTTGGTCGAAAGGAGATGCAAAAGCCAGGGCGATAATTAATTTGGCAGTCAGCGACCAGCAAGTAGTCTATATAAGAAATAAGAAAACTGCCAAAGAAATGTGGGACAGTCTTGCAGCAGTGCATGTTAGAAAAGAGTCAGCGTCTGCATTGACCTTTTTCAAGCAGTTGTACCAGATGAAGTTGCAGCCTGGTGGAGATTTGGCAGCACACTTGAGACGTCTGGAGGCAATACGCGGCGAGTTAATTCGAAGGGACATGGAGATACCTGATATTCAGTATGTTTTTATCATCCTTTGTTCCCTTAATGAGGACTTTGATGGTATAGCTAGCCAGATATCTGCTGTTCCACCAGCACAATTAACTGTGGAAGGGGTAACGGCAAGATTAATGGGCGAGTTGGATAGAAGGGAGGCTTGTGCCATAAGCACTCCTGTTTCCAGAAAGAATGAGGAACGCCATATGCAAACCTGTGGTGATACAACTGCATTTAAAGCTGCAAAGCGTTGTTGGTTCTGCAATAAGCAAGGACATTTTGCAAGGGACTGCAGATCCAAAAGAAAGCAAAGTACTCCCAAGTCTGTTTCTGTTCGTCAATCACGGTCGTCAGCCCAGCAGCCGACATCGTACCGTAAAGACAGAAACGAGCCGCGAGCTTTTCATGCTCGGACAACAGATCGTAAAAGAATTAAAGATGCCAAGTGGAAGTCTTTTGTTATCGACTCAGGAGCATCTCAGCACTTTTGCAATGATCGAAGCTTGTTTATTTCTTTCGAAGAGGAAATTGGTAATGTACATTTAGCCAATTCACAAGTCTTGCAGTCACTTGGCAGGGGTACTGTTAAACTTGACTCTTTAAACATTACAATAGCGAACTGCATTTACTGCCCGTCAATGGACAATTTATTATCAGTAAGGTGCTTTGCCCGTCAAGGCATAACTGTGCGTTTCTTAAAGTCTATGTGTGAGTTTTTCGAGGGGAACAAACGTCTATTGTATGCCCGGGAATCTGATGGTTTATATAGACTGTATTTTCGCACCTACTCCCAATCGTCTATAAATTGCAGAGCAGCACAGTCAAGCCAGGGGTTGAGGAATGTAAGGCCACATTCTGGGTGTATCCACGTGGCGCACAGAATTCTGGGACACCTGAATTTTGCTGATGTAATTAAGACAAAGAATATTGTTAATGGCCTCAACTTAAAACCATGCAAATTCTTTATGCAATGTCTATCCTGTTGCAAGAATAAGATTAAGGTTGCACACAAGGGTAGGTGCTCAGATAGGAAAGTAACTGAGCCATTTGAGCGTGTACATTGTGATTTAGTTGGGCCACTCCCACCCTCATTAGGAGGTTCAAAGTACTGGCTTACTCTGATAGACCAGTATAGTAGATATTGTTGGACTTATGCAATAGCTGAAAAGTCCCAAGCATTTGAGAAGTACATGAGAAGCTGTTTAAAAAATGCCCTAATCTGAAATACCTACGTATTTGGGGTTCAGATGTAATTATGCATTATCCCGCTAAGCAGAAATTGGGTGAACGTAGTGTTCAGGGAAAATTAATGGGCTACCAGCAGGGGGCGTACAGAATTTACATACCAGCAACTGGCAAATTTCATATTACCAGAAGCATGATACAAACTGTAAATTGGAATGGAGTTGCTGTTTTCCAAGATACTGATGGTATAAATGATACTGAGGAAGAAGAGGAAGAAGCAGCAGCAGCAGCAGCAGGAGGAGGAAATGGTGCTTCTGAATTAATGGGAAAAGACAAAAAGCCTGTTGAATCTGATAATTTGTTTGATTTAAAGTCACAGGCACCCGAGGGGAGGTTAGATTCTCTTGAGTTTTCTGACCGTGAGCTTAGCCTACAGACATCTCTTCAGTCTGACAATGATGATTTACAACCTGAAACTGGTAGTTCACTTAGTCCCATTAAGTCTGAGGAGTCTGACTCTCCTTCCGGACTGAGACGTTTAGATAGAAAGAGGCAGAAGCCACAACGTTTTGCAGATGAACATTTTAATACTGTGTATGCCAATAAGGCGGTTTTTGAGCCAAAAAGCTACAATGATGTTCAGAATTTACCTAAGCACCAAGCTGTAAATTGGTATAAAGCTATGAACTCTGAGATAGCTTCTTTAAAAGAGCATAACACTTGGTCTCTTGTACCACAAACCCCAGATATGAGACTTATTGATTCAAAATGGGTTTATAGAGTTAAAATGAATGACAAAAATGAAGTTGTAAGGTACAAGGCAAAACTAGTTGCTAGGGGCTTTCAACAAATTCCAGGCGAAGATTATGATTTGTGCTATTCACCAAGTGTAAAATATGAAACAGTTAAGCTTTTGTTAAAAGATGCATCACAATGTGGAAAAGCCCACTACACAATGTTTCTCTGCTCTTAAGAGAGTGGTAATGTACCTTAAACATACCAAACATTATAGGCTGCAGTTTACAACATGTATTGACAAAGGTTTTGAAATTTTCTGCGATGCATCTCATGCAGTGGAACAAAATAATTGCAGGGGTGTGTCTGGTATAGTGTTTTGTTATAACGGTTGTCCATTTGAATGGAAGTCCCAGACACAAACCATTATTTGTCTCTCTACAACAGAGAGTGAATTATGCGCATGCGTTCAGGCCACTCGTGATGTAGAATGGTATCTGCAAGTATTTGCAGACCTACAGATGCAAGTAACACTACCAGTAAAAGCTTACCTAGATTCCCAGAGTGGACTTGCTATCCTGTGTTCAGAGACCAATACGCAGCGCACTAGAGTCTTAAGATTACGTTTAGAATTTGTAAAGAAACTAATTGCTGATGAAATGGTTGTATTTAAATATGTTCCAGGTGATAGTCAAATTGCAGACATTTTTACTAAAGCACTTCCAAAGGTTACACATGAAAAACATGTACAAAGTATGCTTTATGTTTTTGTTCCACAATGATGAACCGCAGGGGAAATGTTGAATGGTTTCTTTAAATGTAAAGGTTCATCATTGTTCCACTCCATGTGTATGTCTTTAAGGGGCCAGAGCAAGGGCCAGAGCAAGATAACGAGACCCAGCTTTACAGCTGTGTAACATAGCAGGTGCTGCTGAGTTGTATTTGATTAAGGTGTGTCAGCATCTGGGTAGAGTATATAAGGAGCAGCACCTAGCTCTCCCATTACCCTGGGGGATGGGTTGGTGGTTGGGTCATGTTTGTTTGTTAATATATTTAGTGTTAATGGAGTTTTTGTTTTTCTTATTAAAACCTTCTTTAACTTATTTTTGAGTCCCTTCTTTTTAATGCATGATCTCCCCAGCAAGCTCTCTGCAGCGTCACTATACTGCAAAAAGCCAACAGTTTCATGCTAGTCCTTTTAGCCAATGTACCTTCTCCATGTCCAGCACTTTGTCCTGCATCTCTTTAAGCGCACTCAGGGTCTCAGACTCCCGCAAACGTGACTGTTCCAGCTCTGTTTCCAGATGACTCACAAACTCCTCAGAGTAGCGGGGATTTCCCTGCAAACAGGATGAGAAAAATTTAAAATCAGAGTGGTTGGGAGAAGCCAGTTGGATGGGCGAGGTACAAGTAATATAGTATTATTATTATTATTATTATTATTATTATTATTATTATTATTACTACTACTGCTACTACCGTTTCTAGATGTTGCAACCATCCATAAGCCTTCAAGTAACAAATGCCATCTCCAATGTTTTCTGCAGTTTTTACTGCAGTGGTTGAGCGTGTTTATCAAAATGCACTTTTAGGGGGCAGAAAAGTAGGCAGGGAGACGTTTAACATTCTGCCACTGACCCTCCCCTCATGTCAAATTTGGCCCATGAGGCAGATCCTGAAAAGAGATCTGGCCTGTGGAGCCAAAAAGATTCCCTCCCTCTGCACTAGGAAGACGGTATATTTACTCACTGCACATTCATGTGTTCATTAATGTTCTTAGTGACCAAAATATGGTAAAACTAATTTTTAGAAACCCATGAATTTGAGTGCATTGAATTCTCTGTGCTATTAGGAAGAGAGAAAGAGAGAAAGAGAGAAAGAGAGAAAGAGAAAGAGAGAGAGAGAGAGAGAGAGAGAGAGAGAAGAAATAGGGGCTACTCTGTACTTCTTGGGCCAGGAAAACCACCAACACCAAACCAGCTTACCGTACTTTTCGCTCTATAAGACGCACCAGACCACAAGACGCACCTAGTTTTTGGAGGAGGAAAACGAGAAAAAACATATTCTGAATCTCAGAAGCCAGAACAGCAAGAGGGATCGCTGCGCAGTGAAAGCAGCAATCCCTCTTGCTGTTCTGGCTTCTGGGATAGCTGTGCAGCCTGCATTCGCTACATAAGATGCACACACATTTCCCGCTTACTTTTTAGGAGGGAAAAAGTGAGTCTTATAGAGCAAAGAATACGGTACTTGTACCTCTTTAATTTCACCCCCTCCCCCTGCCCCGGACTGTTTCATTTGTGATGCCCATCACCTGCTGTTCCTGCAATTGCCGAATAGTGCTTTGAGCCTTCTGCAAATTCTCGGTTGCTGAACTGCACTGTTGCTTAACCACTGCCAGTTCTCGCTTGATGATGTAGTTCTCTTCAGCCTCCTGTGCGCGGGTAACTTGGCCCTGAAAAACGAGACGAGAAGCTATTATCTCAAGAGAAACACACCCACGTGTCATTTCTCTGTGGGATTCCAATAGAGGATGTGCACTCTCCTCCACTGCATCACTATGAGAAGCAATTCCATGTCCCAGGAGTCCCTTAGTACTGGGGAAAGTATTATCACCTCCAGCCCTCAGCTAAAGTGTGCAAGGTGATCTTGAGACGACATATGAAATCAAGCAGGTATCCAAAGGAGGAAATGTTGTAACAATGGGTGTCTGGGTACATGTGTGATCTGGTCATAACAAAGTGATAAAGTTTCTAAATACCCCAAATGACAGTGTCCGAAAACAGCTGGCCATCGAACTGAATAGAAGGGAAGCTACCCTCGACTTAATCTTAAAAGGCACCCAGGACCTGGTGCAAGATGTAAGTGTTGATGAGCCAACTGGGAACTGTGACCAGTGTTATCAAATTCAACGTAGATGTAAGTGGGACATTGCCAGCAAAGTCCAACAGTTACATTTGACTTCAAAAAAGGAAAATTCTCAAAAATGAGAAAACTGCCATTCAGCAGTTTTCAGATAGGGTCAAATCTCTCAAAGATGCTTGCATGTTCTTCAAAACTATGACAGAAGCTCATCTAGAATGTATAGGAAGGCATTAAGAGGCAAGAAGTCTTCCTTCAGAAAATGAAAGTCCTGCCCAAATGTGGAGAGCAAAAAGCAGCATGAACTTTGACAATATAAAATAAAATAAAAATAATTTATTATTTATACTCCACCCATCTGGCTGGGTTTCCCCAGCCACTCTGGGCGGCTCCCAATAGAATAATAATAATAATAATAATAATAATAATAATAATAATAATGTGATAAAACATCAAACATTAAAAACTTCCCTAAACAGGGAAATGCAAAGAAATGCAAGCAGACAACAAGGGATGCAAAAGAAGAAAACTTTGCAAAGCACATCACTAAAAACATTAAGACCAACAAAAAAATTGAATACATAAAAAGCAGGAAACTGGGAGGCAGTTGGATCTTTAAATGATAGGGGAAATCAAAGGAGTGATAAAAGAAGAAATTGAGATTGCGGAGGAGCTGAATAAATTCCTTGCATCTGTCTTTATTGCAGAAAATGCAGGGCAGATCCCTGCGCCTGAACTGAAGCAAACTGGTGAGAAGAGGCAAAGTTCTAGGCATCACTGACAAATTAAAACCAAACAAATCACCAAGTCCCATTGGTAACCACCCGAGAGTTCTTGAAGAATCCTTCAAACAAAAAATATATGGCTTGTCCCCAAGATCAGTCTTGTATGGAAGAGTATAAATTGGCCACTCTAACACCATTTTTAAAAAAAGGAGTCCAGGATGGATCTGAGAAATTATTGGCTAGTTGAGCTCTCCACCTTTGACAGGTCATTTTGGCAGGTCAGCAGCACAGCAAATCCCAGCGGCACTGAACAGCACAGACACCAAGCTTTGCTTGCCAAGGAACGATCAGGAGAGCACTTTAAAGCTCCCCATCTTTACCTGCCCCACACCTGACATCACATATAGGGCAAGTGGGTGTGGTTTGGTGGAAAATAGCCTTCTTGGCAGAATTAGGACTGTTGCTGTTGTTCTTTAGGCTGCAGTTTTCCTGTCTCACTAACCTTTTAAAGTCCTTTGGGAGTATCAATAAACATTTGGATAGGTGTGACCCAGTCAACCGTACATACTTAGTCTGACAAGAAGCATTTGATAAAAGTCCCTCACTGAAGACTCCTGAGCTTAGCAGTAAGAAGAGAGGTCATTTTATGGATCAGTTATCTGGTTAAAGAAAAGGAATCAGAGAGTTGGGGAAAATGGACAGTTCTCACAAAGGATGGATGTAAGAAGTGGAGTCCTACAAGGATCAGTATTGAGACTTGCCTTGGTAGACGGCCCAATGAAAATGCAGACTGTGTGTGTGGCAAATGTGAAAAAGGCAAATTCTATGTTAAGGAGCAGGGACCTTCATAATGCCCTTATACAAATCTGTGATGCGACCGCACTTAAAATACTGTGTACAGTTCTAGACACCACATCTCAAAAAAGTTATTTGGTAGAACTGAAAAAAGTTCAAAAATGGACAAACAAAATGATTATGAGACTTGAACAACTCCCTTGGGGGAAAGGTTACAACTTTTGAGGCTTTTCAGTTTTGAAAATATGGCAAGTTAGGTGTGACATGACAAAGTTATATAAAATTATGCACAAACAGTGGCTAGAGATACATCTCTGCCTGCCACATAGAATACCAAAACCCAACACCATCTAATGAAGCTGAATGTCAAAAGATTCTAGAGAGACAAAAGGAAGTATTTTTCTCACAGTACGTAGTTTGCAACCACAACATATAGTAATGGCCTTCAATTCAGATGGTTTTGAAAGAAGTTTAGACATATTTGTGAAGGATAAAGTTATTAATGGCTACTAGCTATGGTGGCTGGATTGCTTCTCGTATCGGATGCAGCACTTTTCCAAATGCCAGCTGCCTAGAATGCTGCTGTGTGCATGCTCTGTTTGTGGCCTTCTCATAGGCATTTGGTTGGCCACTGTCAGAACAGGATGCTGGACTAGATGGGTCTTTGGTCTCATCCAGCAGGGTGGTTCTTAAGAGTTTTTGTTTTTTTTTAAAGGGGTAAGCAGAGTAGCATTCATTACCATACTGGCTTCCCAAAGCATTGCTCCAGCGCTAGCCATACAGAAAAAGGATTGTGCATGTAGGCTTTGCTATTTCACTTGGTTGACTAAGGAGCGCACCAGTCTTTTAATGCTACATGTGGTTCAGTCCATATGACATCACAAGGTATATGAAGGGGGGCTGCTCCTTTGAAAACAATCCTATGTAAAACCCTTTGCATGTGTGCAAAGCTAAGCTATCGCTTTACTGAAAAGGCTAAGCTAGAATCCATCTCTCTGACACAAAGTTCTTTGAATGGAAGGCTTTGATACATATGGTGCTTTAAAAGAGCAATGCCCTGAAGGCATCTAGCCCAGAAATGCTATCATGCTTCTCATTCCAGTTGTGCAACACTGCCCCCCAAAAGACGTCCAGCTCCCCCAAATCTACACAAGGCCCATTTAATACAACCCCCAGTTCTACACGCTCCGAAAGGGCCTGTTACGTTACAGAAAGAAGGTTCTGTACTCTTAGATTCCGCTTGGGAGGCACAGCCTGCAGCAAGGGTTGGGGAGGGCTAAAGAATTTCACGGTTTTCTAGGCGCAACTGCAAGAGATGTGTGCCTTATTAGTTAAAAATTGTAATTCCTAGAAACTGTAATATTTATATGCCTTATGTCAGCATAAGATGTGAAAACATAATGTTCCAGGAATTTGTCTTTACACAGAGCCTGTGCCATCAGCCATATTGTGTATACAAGGAACAGATGTCCAGTCATCGAAAAGCAATTCGCAAATTCAGAGAATACCTGTGGGCAGAGGCAGGAAACCAATTAGGGGAACCACAAACCTCATCTTCTGCCCTTGAGAGGTATCTGTGACTTGCCCATGAACTAGGGGGCAAATGGGCTTCACAGACTGAGGGAATGTGAGCCTCCTTCCTCTTTCCAAGCCTACTACAATACACCAGCTTTTCTTCTCTGAATAATACCATCTGCATTCATCATGGTTCCTCCCCACCCCAAGTCTTTTCCGGCTGGCAAAGATCTTAAGTAGGTCCTCCATCAGACTTAATTAAGAACCACTTGGGGAGTGTCTGGGACCCATTAGAAGCACTACAGTGTCTGTCTCTAATTGGAAGCACTGTGTGCTTTTGCAAAATAGTTACCCTTAGCTGTACATCAATGTGTGTGCCGATGAAACAAATACACAGTAAGAAAAACACAATGAGATAGCTGCACTCAGAAGCTCAGGTGTGGTGACCCAGGAGGGCATTTTCTGTGGCAGTTGTGGAATTCCCTCCCCCACAATGGTGTGTCTGGCAACTTCACTGTAGTTGGTGAATACAGATCTGCCTCTTTCCCCTGGCCTTTGACACGCAAGAGATATTTTAGGACCCACACAATTTCTGTGACTGTAAATTGTGGTAATAAAACAGCAGCCGCTGAGGAGTGCAAACACAGACAGACGTGGGGGGGGGGGTAGGGTAGCTTTGAGAGATCTTTTAGAAAAGATCTCCCCACCACCCCCTTTACTGCCAATTTGTTGTTGTTGAACAGTTGGCTCTGTCCTACTTTATTTCATGATTAATTTCTGCAATGAGAGAGGGGTGGAGATGTCTATAGACATCTAAATCTGGGCCAGAAGCAATAATATGGGAAGCTATATGAAAAGACTGACGGACAAATTAATAACTTATTGAGCTAAATTGCAGGTACACATGTAAGGAAGCTGGGGTCTGATGAATTCATAGACAGGGCAGTCCTTTTTGTGCTTTCTTGCACTAACAGGACGAGAAGCAGTATCCACAGTTGCCTGGGGATTTGTGTTTTACATATCATGCCAATACCTCCCAACTTCAAGCAGTGCTGCTAGTACTAAAATCTAACAGAGCTGTAAAAGATTCTGGTTCCCATGAAAAACAGAGTTCAAGCCTAATCCTGTTTTTGGACCCTAAGCAAAACTTTATTCAGTGGCATGTAGCATCAAGTAACTGAACAGGATTAGTTTAGAATAAGGGTTAAACAGGCTGTCCAAGGATCATTCAGTGTTAATGCTAAACAGCTGAAAACTTCCTATTTGTACAGCACAAGAAAGGACCCATGACAGCAATAAGAACACTGATGAAGAAAAACAGTAAGTATTCTTATTGGGAAAGATTGGTGTTCTTACAAAATAGGAGGTCCTTCCCTTTGAAATCTGAGTGTGGCATTCTCACAGGACAAGCGAAGTATTTGTCAGTATTGGTGTTGGTTATGCCACTTCCACAATCAGATGCCAGACCTTGTTTGCAACTTCTGAGTTTGCCCAGTATTTGGGGCATATACTAAGCTTCCCATATATGTATCTCAGTGCAAGGAAAGAAGTGTTGTACCCAAGGGAGGGTTTGTATGAGTTGCCTCTCTGCCTGCAGGCATTTGAGGCAATAATACAAGAGGAGTCCTGTAGTATAAGAAAGTCAAGGTGATGTTAAGTCATCCACATAATCTACCTTACAATTCTAAACAGAGTGGTACACAACTCTTACATAATTAGCAAAAGTATTTTGTTCAAAAGTAGCCCAACGTTAAACAGGGACCCCTGACCATTAGGTCTAGTCATGGCCGACTTTGGGGTTGCAGCACTCATCTCGCTTTATTGGCCGAGGGAGCCGGCGTACAGCTTCCGGGTCATGTGGCCAGCATGACTAAGCCGCTTCTGGCGAACCAGAGCAGCGCACGGAAATGCTGTTTACCTTCCCGCCGGAGCGGTACCTATTTATCTACTTGCACTTTGACGTGCTTTCGAACTGCTAGGTTGGCAGGAGCTGGGACCGAGCAATGGGAGCTCATCCCGTCGCGGGGATTCGAACCGCCAACCTTTCGATCGGCAAGTCCTAGGCTCTGTGGTTTAACCCACAGCGCCACCCACGTCCACGTTAAACACTAGTTGGAACTAATTTGCTATAACTGCTTTGCCAACAAGGTGCACTCCAGATGTTTTGGTCTATTATGGCCATCAACTCTAGCTATACTGGCTGGGGCTAATGGAAATTTAATCCAAAATATCTGGAGGTGTTGGTGAAGACTGATTAAGAACCTCGTTTTTCAGAATCCTGAAGGTTTTATTCCCATGCATTTCCACACAAAACTCAGAAGCAGATGTTTAGCTAAGAGCAGTTTTAATGATTTTAGCCCCTTCTCCTCCTTGCAGCTATAGTTTATATATTGGTGTCTTGGAAGAAAATTCATCCACAGATTAAAAAGATAACCATGGAGAAACTTCCAATATCCACATCTACAGCCTGTTCAGAAAGCTTCCAACAGAACCCCCTGCAGCTTTAATAAACCCTTATTTCTTCTAGGACTTTGCAGAATAAAGAATGATGGGCATTCACACTGAAGACATGTAATTTCCTATGGCAGCAGTACCTCCATAAAGTACCTCCATAAAGAAAGTCTGAACGCTGTTTCCCATATAGACGTGATATCTATGTAAGAAATTAGATATCAAGGATACTGCAGAAAATGTTTTCTGTGCAGTGATTTTCACACAAGAGAGGTGTTGTAGTGTCATGGTTCTTCCTCTGACACTTCCCTCACCCACCCACAACAAGTAGACGAGGGCTACATTTTTTAAGTCTCTACAGCACTGTATCCTAAAACCAGGTAAGTTAGCCAGAGCATTGTTAATTTTGTTTCTGCTAAAATAATAATAATAATAATAATAATAATAATAATAATAATAATAATAATTGATCTGCTAAGACCCAGAAACTTTCAGCCAGTTTAAGTCAGCATCGTTCTAGCTAAAAGCCAATCAGCAAACAGTGATGTAGAAAGCTACGGCTTCAGAGCTCACATCCTTAGCTGCATAAAACAGGAAGGATTGTAGCATCATTAATATCACATGATCTAATGGATGCAACTTAAGAGTCCCCCTTTAAAGAATGTTACGGGTGATTCAAGAACCAATACAGAATTGTTCGTCTGAACTCTTCTGGGTGGAAGTGCCAAGTAAACCCAAACACAAAGATAAGGCTGCAAGTGGTTTTTCTGTCCTGGAATGAAATGTTACACCAAGAGGAGAATTAGAAATAAAAAAAGGTTGTACCATACCTGGATCAATCTATCTGCCAAAGCAGCACTCTCCTACAGACTCAGAAGAGGGAGATCCAGACAAGGAAGGAAAGATGAAGGAAAGAAAAAGATACAAAAGCAAGGTCACACACACACTCTATAGCTAGAAGCACAGAAGAAAAAAGATAAAGAACCCAACAGAGCCCAAGTAGAGAACTTCCATTCCAGAACAGTGTCCAATCTGCAGTGTGACACTTCCCTTTATGGAGAAAGCAAGGCACATTTTATGCATGTGCTTTGTGCCTGTCCACAGGGGAAGGCAAACAGATATGGATTCCCTCAAGAAAATCTTGTCTTGCATTAACTTCGCTTCAATCCTGCAAATGCTGCAGTGGCCTGTAATTTTATTGCCCATTAGGTTGATGGAAGAGATCTTATTTTAGGAGTCAAACTTGTGTGTTGTCCAGTCTCCAATTAGCCAGACTCCCTGGAGTTGCTGGCTCTGGGCAAGTCTCCAAGATCTCTGTTAACAGTACATCAAAACGGGGTCAAATAACTTCTATATTTTTCATGTAAAACTTTAATATTTAGCACAAAATAAGGTCATCTGAGGTATACGGCACAGCATAGCTGAAAAACAATGAAAGGTTCAATTGCCGCACAGTGAAGTCCCAATAGCAGGCTTGGACTGTTCAGAATATAATATAAGTTGCTTCTGTTTTAAGTTATCATCCAAGCTGAAGTTTTTTGGGCTAATCATGTGTCTGCAGCTCCTGCAGTTTACTTTTTCCATCTTAAAGAGTGCAGGCAGCAGATCACCAAGGTTTTGCCGCTTCTTCATTACCAGCAAAGGTTGTGAGAGAGCTGAGTAACACTGCTTTGGACATATATTACTCCCTACCCTCCTGAAATAAAAACACCCCCAGCAGTCTCTGTGAAGGTACGCAGCAGAGACTAATGGCTAGTCCCCTGAGTAGTGTCCACAGTCAACCGGGACAGTCGGTTGTGTAAGGCCTCGTTTTTGGTGGCCAAACTAGTCTGGAAGCGGAGGAAGTGAATTTTCATGCGGCTGGGTACTCTCCTCACCTTCTCCAGGGTCTCAATTCGCTGTTTCAAAAGACGGTTCTCAGAACGGAGCCTCTGCAAGCGAGATCAAAGTCAACATGCATTCTAATCTGTAAGAATCAGCTTTTGTTAAGCGATGGCCAGCATGCAGAAATTATGCTGAAATCCTGAACACCGAGCTAGAGTCATCTGCACAACCAGCTGATTGAATAACCAGGAAGGAAGCATTACACCAGAGAGAGTGAGAGAGAGAGACAGATCTTAAAGTTCAGTAAGAAAGGAATGCTTTTAAAAAAACTAAGGTACACTGAATGACACAAAAGGAGCCAAGGTATGTGAGCACTTGAACTTTTGCCTGAAGTGCAAGAGTTTCTGTAACAGCAGAGGACACAGTAGAAAGAATGCAAGCCCTGCAGCAGACAGAAGGACCAATATACCAGGGGTACAAGGCACTGCTATGAAACAGCAAAACCATCTAGGTGATCTGACCATTGGACAACACTGCACACCCTTAGGATAACAGTGTCTTGAGGCCTTGCACTGGAAGAACAAAGAGTAAGTTGACTCGCTTTTTGGGGAAAGGAAGCATGGGGAACGCCCATGTTTTTGTTCTATATGTTGCCATATGTGCAAGACAAGTGCAGGAATGTACAGGGGAGGGAGGTAAGGAGGCAGCTTACCTTGATTTCAATCTGCTCTTCCATCTCTCTGTTTTTGATTGCAGTGTACTCCTTCTCTAGTCTGCAACACAGGCAAGATACAGTTCACCCTGATTCTCCCTACAGAACGCCAGCATTTTGGAGATGCTCTGAGAGACAAGCCTGATATGATAGCAGCACACCTGTGCATTTAACGCCTGATCTGCCCCCATCACATTGAAAGAAGTCTATTTGGGTTAGAATTTAAGGAACATGGGTAATAGGGCTTATGGGTAATAGGAGTTTAATCTTTCCCATGCTTGCCAGTTAATTAACTGGCACTGCCTGCCTTGGTCTATTTTCTCCAAGCTAGGCTCATTTCTGGTACAAAAGTCTGGGCAATGAACTGTAAGAAGGTGAGCAGCCTGTGAGGTTAAGCTGCCTTCACCAGGATGCCCTTTTCTGCTCCTTAAGCATCCTGATCCATCTGCTCCTGGATCCCACCCCAGTTTTCTATGCAAAAATCAGATTTGCTACAGTTGCACCCAATCTGGCTGCTAGAGAAGCCAAGGACTGGAATAGCTAACCATCCATGCTGGACAAACACAACTCCAAAGTCTCCTGGGTCACACTTCATGATTACGAAGTGACACAAGCCTGCCTGCAGTATTTGTCGCACGATCAGGAGACTTTTAAACTTCCAATTAAGTCAATAAGGAATGGTAATATATGATTCAGCTGCATCCGCTAGCAGTTAACATATTGACCCTAAAACTGGCTATGTTTCTAGTCTCCCACAACACAGTATTTTACACTCACTCTCATGCTACTCTGTACCGAGGCTGAATTGCCTTATCCCTTATGCGCCCACTCAAGTGCTTTAACCTGTGGAACTGGCACTGTTACAGGTGTCACATAATGCTTGTGAGATCTTTCAGTGTAACAGCACCAACACTTTGTTCCCACCTACCTACTGATTACAGAGGCACCTTCACTGGACTCTCTCTCTCTCTTTTAGCACTTGCTAAAGCATTTTTGTTTCGGCAAGCTTATCTCGATACACATGATATGTTTTAATCTTCTTGCTATTAATTTTAATGATATTTAAAATGTTTCATTGTTTTGAACGCTTAGTAATTTTAATATTTCTTGTAAAAAGCTCAGGGTTTTTATTACAATCAAACAATATAGAATTTTTGTTAGACAAAAATAAATAAAATAGATGGGACCCCAGTTTACAAATATGTTAAAAGGCAGTCAGGATCGCCTATCTTTAAACAGATTTTATATTTAGGATGTAAGGTACACAATTAGCTAGTTCCACAAAAAGCCACATCATGCTCTTTCCAACCCCTGAAATTTATCTGAAATTGAGCGAACGAAAAAAACCAGGGAAAGTTAAGTTTTAGTATTGGGTGCTTTTTGATGTTGTACTAATTCTAACACTAACCTTACCCTTCAGGATTGTTTTCTGCTTGCTTCGTTTTGACTAGGAGTGGAGTTTCCCCAATGTAATATTTACCATGGTAAAAGGTAAAGGTAAAGGACCCCTGACAGTTAAGTCCAGTCGCAGACAATTCTGGGGTTGCGGTGCTCATCTCGCTTTACAGGCTGAGGGAGCCAGCGTTTTGCCACTGACAGTTTTTCCAGGTCATGCGGCCAGCATGACCAAGCCACTTCTGGTGCAACGGAACACTGAAACCAGAGCAGTGCACGGAAACGGCATTTACCTTCCTGCTGGAGCAGTACCTATTTATCTACTTGCACTTTGGGGTGTGCTTTCAAACTGCTAGGTTGGCAGGAGCTGGGACCAAGGAACAGGAGCTCACCTCGTCGTGGGGATTCGAACCGCTGACCTTCTGATCGGCAAGCCCAAGAGGCTCAGTGGTTTAGACCACAGCGCCACCCGCATGCCTTGTTTACCATGGATGTCCTTTAAATCATGTGATTTTGTGGGTGTTCTTTGTAAGCTTAAAGTAGGATGACGAAACCCATCGAAAAGGACAAGCCACAGAGAGGTTTCTTGGTGGATAACCATCAGTATTTTCATTGTAAATTCCAAATCTCCACATACACTTACTGCCGGTTAGAACTTGGTATCTTAGCAATTAGTGAGAGCACCATATTTTAGAAGCATGGCACAGGAAGAGTTTCTGATCAGATTTAGTCTCCGTTTGAACTTTTGTTACAAACAATGGTTCAAAGTTCTCTCTCTCTTCCCATTAATGTTTAAAGACTCTGCCAAATTATACAGCCAGCATAGTTGGAATGGGCTTAGGGTAGGAATGGGAGTTTATTTTTGACTGGGTCCATTTGCTTGACTTGCACTTTAATTATGTTAATGTGTGATTGTAAAGGGATTGTTAAAATCCATGAAGCGCACAAGGAAAGTAATAAACACACATAAGATTGAGTTAATTCTGGACAGCAGGGGCAACATCCAACATGATGCTGTGCGAGTGGATTCCTCCTTCCGCTCCTCCGCCCTGCAGCCTCCTGAATGTCCCAAATCCTGCTCCAGGGGGTCTTCCAGCCCTCCAAAGCATATTTGGTGGGTGTGCAGAGGGCTGTAGAAGGGAGAAGAGGAAAGGGAAGTCCCATTGGGCAGGTGGAAGTCTGTTCTGCTAATGTGTGGGTACAGCAGGGTTTCACCTCAGGTCTTGTAAGCTGAGGGAGATAAAACACCCATAAGAAAAGGTGTTTCATGTCTACAGTCAACAAAATTAGGTGCTACTCTGTCCAAGTTTCAGCAACAGTCCATGACCAGTTCTCACAAACACTATCTGGTGAAAAGGCCCCTTTTACGTGCCACCAATCATAACAGAAAACCCTGCTTCTGGCAATAAAATATCCTCCAAGAGAAATTCCTTCGATATACAGTGGTACCTCGGGTTAAGTACTTAATTCTTTCCAGAGGTCCATTCTTAACCTGAAACTGTTCTTAACCTGAAGCACCACTTTAGCTAATGGGGCCTCCTGCTGCTGCCGCACCACCGGAGCACGATTTCTGTTCTCATCCTGAAGCAAAGTTCTTAACCTGAGGTAATATTTCTGGGTTAGCGGAGTCTGTAACCTGAAGCATATGTAACCTGAAGCATATGTAACCCAAGGTACCACTGTAGCTGTTCAGGAGACTTCCCACATCAACCTACGCAGCTTTCCAAAGAAAGCGACAAAAGACACTTATGTATGAGATATATGATAAAGTAATACTTACCGTTTCATTTTCTTAGGGTTGTATTTGACCTGGTAAGCCTTAAAGATCAGCTTATCAGGACAGTTTTCAAACTGATGAGGAATCACCTTCTGGAAATACTGTGAAAAAGGCAACACTTAAGTCAGAATGCGCCTAGGATACATTCCCTGGTCAGCAAACCTGCTTCTAATGTCCAGCTTAATTTTATCTACTTCTTCCCAGAAAGCTAAGACAGAGGGAGTGGCCAGTCTTTGGAATGCTTCTTGTGATATAACACTTCTAAGTGCTGCTCACTTGAGTATTACCTCTTGAGAATCACACAATCTAGCATTACGGTCTGGAATGGAAGTGGGGGGGGGGAGCACTCCTGACCACATTTGTTTTAGTGCATTAAAAGCACTTTAAAAACGTTAACTCTTCCCCACCTCAAGACACATGTGCAATACACCAAACACACAGGGCAGGCCTCAAAATAGGCTGCCTATAGGCTCCATCCTTTGCTATAAAATAGCTTGGAAGTGTTTGACATCACCTCCTAAAACAGTGTTGAAGCAGCAAGGAACAGGCAGCAAGGAACTGCCACCTTCAATCACCACTGCTGTCACCAGCTGGGGTGGGGCCCTTCTCTGCCCTCACAGAGGCCCCCAGTGCCAACTTCCTTGCGAGAAGTGTCAGGACTACCTTCTCTGGTGTGCATGTGTGCCGTATTATCAACTGTCCCCGATTAGACCACTTGATGTGACAGTAATGACAAGAAGCTGGCAGATTCCAGCTTGGCCCCATTCTCTATGGCCAACTTCTAGGAAGGCTGGGTGCTGGGCTATTTTTAAGGATCTGCCAAGGCCTGCTTTTTAAACTGTGAGCAGCCTGTTCCCATCCAAGCTGATCACTATGAGAACCTTGTAACATTAATCATTTGGTGACCAATATTTCTGCTTTCACTCCCTATCCCTTTCCCCCCCAATTTGTGAGTGCCTTTGTAGACTGTAAGCCTGAAGGCAGGGACTATGCTGTTTTGACTCTGGGTGATTTTCCAGCTAAAGAGCATAGTATAAAGGCTTTGAATAAGATGTATTCCATGTTATGGGAAAACTGGGTTGACCTGCAGTGGAGATCTGGTATAGACAGACTAGATTTATTTCAGGAGAAGAATGTGTTTAACACAAAACTCACAGTGAAAATATTACAAATGGGATAGGTCCTGGCCATATGCTTAAAACGTTTTTATGCAACCCGTCAGCTGAAATTCCTCCCAAGCTCCCTCTGCAAGGGTGAAGAACCAGGATCAGCTTTCAGAAGATTTGACACTTCAAAGTTGTGAGTCAACACAATTTAGATTGATTTTTACTGCCATTTTTGTTTCTGTACCTTCAGCAATTTTTTTCTGGCATTATGTCTTTAGCCCTAAAGGCTTAAACTTTGTAAGTTCAACCTTGCAATTTGCCACCCAGTTGGGTGGATAGTACTTACCCCAAATGCAAGCCCACCCTTCCTAGTGCTAGCTAATCTTGCAATACCTATCACAGTGGGACACTGTCTTTCTCCACCTGCGGCAGTTCAAGTCTCTTGAAACCCAGGAATACTCAAAGCAACTTCTAAAGTTTGGTTTCCTTACCTTCCTTTTAGAATTACTGTAGGAAAAGTAGGAGCAAAATAGATACCTGAATGGCCAGAGTAAGAATGTATACTCTCCCTCTCATCTCAATATTTCAACACTAATGTTATTAGCAACTGCAAAAAAGCAACAAAAGGTCCCAACTGAGCTGCACTTAGTAACAGCGCAATCCCAACCATGTCTCCTCAGAATTATTTCCTACTGAGTTCAAGGACATTTGCTGCCAGTTAAGTGGACTTAGGATTGCAGCCCAAGGTATTTTCTTGTGATAATTCTCTTCCTCACTTTGTAGATTCCAAACACCAACATACACCGGTATCTTAAAAAGGGCTATAATATTACAAGAAAGGACACTCCAACTAAACATCAGGAAGAACTTTCTGACGGCAAGAGCTGTTCAACAGTGAAATGGACTCCCTCAGAAGGTGGTGGATTAGAGGACCCTCTGGATCCCTTCAAACCCTACCACTCTATGATTCTATTATTGTTCTTCTACCACTCTATGATTCTATTATTACAGACATGTTACCCAAACAGCATCCCAATTGGAATGCTTACATAGTACCACAAAAGACTGAGAAGCATTCAAAGCTGCCCCCTGGAATGCAAGTGGGCACTGAGACTCTGGTCAGGCCTTGAGCAGACCACATGCCCCTACAATTCTAGATCCCAACAGCTGATACAAGCTGAAACAAGTTGACTGGCTCATCACATAAATCAAACTGCAGAGGAATAGGGAGCTGCCAGAATTTGGGCCATGAGCCGTTGCCCTCAGGCACAGTCAGGCTGAAATGGCTAGGGTTTATGATGTTCCAAAGATGTGTCAGTTCTCAACCAGCCCCCCACTTCCATTTCCCCTTCATGTCTTTCTCCCCCATACGGGTATCCGAATGAGAGACAGAAACTAGCAAGTCTACCTCTACTCCTACAGTTCACCATAGAGCTGACCTGTGACATCCCCTCCATGTCCAGTTGCATCAGTTCAGCCTGGTTGAATTGCAGAAGAGCCATCCCCACACGGAAGACTATTTCCAATCCCTGTAAGAAGTCAGCAGAAGTTAGATGGGCTCCACCCCAAAATGGAGTTTCCCATGGTTCGGAGTAAGCCTATGGAGCAATTGAGGAATAAGCCACATTTCCTATGAAGTGGAAATGCAAATGAGATTAGAAGATATCCAACAAAAAAGAAATATATCTAGTTTCCAACCCCCAATAAAATCATCAATCCGCTTGAGCACATCATCCAGAGAATGTGTTGGCTCATCCGTTGCCAAGTTAGGCCGAGAGAGCTCTGAATTGAACACGATTTAACAACTTGCTTAAGCAGCAGCGGGCATATGGATGCTAGCACATTTGCACAAGTATAAATGAACACAATTACAGAATTCTGTGACAAATGGAGCTGAGATAATACTTTGATGTCTTTAAAGGGGGATTAGACAAATTCATGGAGGATAAGGCTATTAACGGCTGCTAATAATTTTGGCTATATACTACCTCAAGGATCACAGGCAGTAGGCCTCTGTATACCTGTTGCTAGGGAACAGCAGAGGGGGAGGGTTTGGTTCCCATTTCCTCCCCGTTGTGAACTTTCCATTAGGTAACTGATTGTCCACTGCAGGAAACAGGATGGAGCAGATAAGGCCTTTGGTCTGATCCTGCAGGGCTCTTCTTACAGCATTTGAAGACACTTCGTTTAAAGGGATGTTCTGTAATCTGCAATATTTTGAAGAGCTGGTGTTTGGCTACAACACCTTTTTTATGGAAGCGGTGTCACTTTTAAACATAATATCATTCAGACACTTCCTTACACAGACCTGGGCTAGTGGCGTAGGAGAGATGGACGCAGTGTACATTATTATTATTATTATTATTATTATTATTATTATTATTATTATATTATTTATACACCATCCTATACCCAGAGGTTTCAGGGTGGTTCACAAGAAGACAACAACTTCCTTGTAGTTTTGTGGACTTCCTGGGCACGGGTCAGTTTCTGCCAGCAGATGAGAATGCTGAAAGTAACATGTTTATTTCTGGTTGATTCAACATAACACTAAGTACCGTATTGACCCGAATATAAGCCACACCTGAATATAAGCCGCACCTTTAAAATTCAAAGGGGAAAAAAAAGACAATACTCAAATATAAGCCGCTCCCTTAAAATTCCGCAGGCACTCACACCCGTTCCGTTTTACCATATGTCTGTTTCAGCAGCAATATCGGAAAATCCAATTTTTGTAAGGTCCCGAATTTAAGCCACACTTTAACTTTCCATGGTTGGAATTTGGAAAAAAAAGTGGGCCTTATATCCAGGCCAATACGATAAATCCTTGTATGGATGGAATGGCTCCCATTTCCACAACAGGACCGCCCCCCCCCCGCTTCCCCACATGTGCTCCCCAAGTTTATTCTGAGGGTCCCCCCCTCGAGAGATTTAGGGACAGCACAGGGCACACCCACATTGGGGGGGGGGTGTCCCACTGCGCAAGCAGAAGCTATTGCATTCTGGCAAGGATTTAGTTGAATACCACTCTTTGATCCAGGTTATTTTCTAAAATATTTAGAATCTTACACTATGTCTTTACACAATCCACATTTCATAGCATACAGCAGCCTGGAGCAATGTTATTTTAAAAATCAGCCATTAATTCTTCCTCGATATATGCAGACTTGTTGTGATATGTCCCATTAAACAGGTCATGCTCTCACTGCTGCTCTTCCTGTAGCCCTGTGTCCCCACCCCCTTCACATTTTTATATCGAATGCTTTACCTCGTACATGAAGATGTCAAATACTCGAGTGGCCACAGGCAGAGGAAAGGTGGTAAGGAAGAGGGTAAGAAACCAGGATGATGCATACATAGAGGTAAGGAAGCTTTGAGAACGGAAGTGGATATTCAGTTCAGGCAGCTGCTCCTGAAGAGACACAGAACACAGCTCTTAATCAAGAGGAATAACAGCAAGTCTTGAGCATCACAGTTGGATTCCCACAGTCAGGACACTGGATTCTCAAAGGCAGGGCCACACGTATAGTAATTAGCATCCTTAACTTTATTGCCCTGAAATAATAAAGCTGATGTACTTGAGACTGTTACAGGATTTTTAGGAGGCAGGAGGGAAGTAATTCACAGTCTAACAACTTGTACCCTTAGAAGCTTCTTTATGCACGACAAACACAGTCTTTTTTACCTGAAGCATGTACTCAAACTGGTAGATGCAGAGCCCTAGCTCAGCCATAGTGGGTTTAAACAGCTCCCGTAATCTGTACTCTTGCATCAGACGTACAAACACACAGAACGCCTCTTCTTCAGGCATCTAGAAACGAGACAAGATGCTTGCATAAGCTTCTTCAAAGTGATTCTGTATCAAAAGGAAATTATGACACACAAGACTGGTATCACCACAGATTCCCCCCCCTTTAAATAATAAAGAATGCAACAGGGAGAGGTGATACTAATAGAAGTACATATCCTTTGCTTGCACAAGATGTCAGTTTCAATCCCTTGCACCTCCAGTTAGATGGGTCAAAGGGAGCAGAAGTGGGCAAGATGCTTGCCTCTGGAATGCTCTTGCAAATCTATGTAGACAACACTGCATTAGATGGATCCATTATCTGTTTAGGGCAACTTCGTATGTTCAACAGGTAACCGCCACGTTGCCACAAAAGTATTGAAGAAAAACATTCTATCTACTGTATTCACAGAGTCAATATTTGTGCAAGTAACACAAATCTTAAGTGCATTCAGTATGAATGACTTCAATTAACTGGATATGGGAACACATTGTAGAATTGTTCTTCTTTGGTACACTGCATTAGGGCTTCTCAGCAGGATACTGCTGTTCTTGTTGTATTATAATGGATACTTCTAGTGCCTAAACTAGTATTAGTTTTCATTTGCAGCAATAAAATGATGCGTTCTCAAAAATGGATTTTTCAGTGATGCTTCTTCTAAATCAGATATCCCCATTTTATACTGACATATGCATAACACTCTACCCATCACTGTTTAAAGTAATGGCAACTTGTTTTGTTTTGAAGCACTTGAAATTCCATATGGTTTTTCATTACTAAAGTTGATGAATACGCTTCCACTCTTGTATTGACGACATTAGTACAAAGGAGTGACGGCGGGATATCAAAAAGATGCCTTGAAAGCCCAGCTCCTAGTCCAAACACAGGCCCAAGAGTGAATGTAACTGAAAAATATCTTCATTCATTGTGTTTATTCTAGATTACATTCCTCCAGCCTGGGCCAGGAAAACAACAACACATGTTTGTAGGACTTACCCTACAATGGATTTCGAAATTCCTAGGCACTAGTATTAATACAGGTGCCTGAAGATTTTTTAGGCCTGCTTCTAGCTCAGCCTTTCCCAACCCAGGCTCCCCAGATGCTGTTGGCCCCATCATCCACAGACTGCATGACCAATAGCCATGGATGATAGGAGCTGTAGCTCAACACCATGTGGGGATCCAAGGTAGGGAAAGGCTGTCTAGCTGAAACCATTTGGAAATATCAAAAGCTTTAATAAAGTAGGGTCATATAAGAGAATGTTTCCTTCTACTAAAGTAGCTATTTTAACAATGTAGTCAAGCCCAGTTAAAATTTGTGTTTGGCACTGACCAATGCTAAGGTGCAAGCAACTAGATTTATAACCTGTTTTAATATTTTGCAAGGTGCTGAACTGTTCCATAAGCTCCCAAGTAAAGACGAACACTTAGGTTCAGGCCAGACATCTACTCCCATGTTACACAAACCTGCATCAGGAGCAGTCCAACGATGAATGCACTGCCTTGGCAGTACCCAACCTCACGGTCTACTAGAGAGTAAGCCTGAAAGAAAAGCAAACCTTAAGCAACAGCTGGTCCAGATTAGCACAAAATACAACCACCAAATGCCCAAAGGGATTTGAAGCACAATTAAAACACACAACTACGAGGCAGAGTTTTGACACAACTTGTTCAACCACACACAGAATTTTCTTAATGCTGGAAAGTTTCCAATATCAGCAGTTGGAAAGGGAGGGGAACTGGGAAGGATCCAGACCATGTCATTCAAGTCACTGCTTAATACACACAAGCAGAACGACAGAAAATATTTCTACAAATGTTTCCGCAATCATGCTACAAATGAAGATTAAAATGAGGACCTTAATACAATTCAAATAATTGTTGTTGTTTTGAAAAAAGGAACTAAATGAAGAGATGTACACCTTTAAGTACTTAAGAACAGTGCTTTGTTCCCCACAACACACAGAACACTTTTTTTTTTAAAGATTAGCTGAAGCTCCTGGCTGGGAATTTCCCTTCTTCTAAGGTTCTCAGGATGTGCCCTCTGCATTTCTTTCTGGGAAGTTGGGAATTTATTGAATTGGCTTAGCTTCAGCATCTGTCCAGCTCTTCCTCTTTATACAGCAGGTTAAGCATTTGTCTTTCCAGAGTGTAGTTCAGCTGCAATCCTTGTGTCAACTACAAAGCCAACTGGGAAGGAGGAACGCATAGCTAAGCTTTCCCAATAGCACAATGTAGTTACATCAAAGAGCAATGTGCAGAAACACCTCCATCTCAGGAATAGCTACATCTTATATTCCCCTGAGAAGTCAACAAAATTTTGCCTCTGGAAGTCAATTATGTGTGGTCATCAGTGACTCCTGTACCAATAGATGAGTCACTTCTAAAGTAACAGATGAGTCACTTCACACCACACATCAAAAAATGGGAACAGGAGAACAAGAGGGACTGCCTATTTCCTTCTCCAATGTATGGCATGAAGCAAGACAGACATCCTCAAGTTCTCTGCATGTGTAGAGGACTCAGTGGAGGGCAAGGGACTTCTCTCCCATGTCTGGCACAATGACAGCCCTTCCGAAGTTTTCTGTAATTTGCAAAGGCCTGGGTTCTAAGATGGGGTGGTCTGTGTGGCTTTGTCAACTGGCTTTCTTAATTCCTGCTTCTCACAATGCATATCCTGCTAGAGGTTGGTTCTCTTTACCACCACACTTTTATTTATGGCTTTATTACGTAGCTGAAATTTTTAAATTGTATTTAAGTTTTAATTTCCCAAAGTCTGGACACAAACAATTGGCAGAACCTACGGCTGTTCAGCAGATTGATGTCAGCCACAAGCCATAAAATTATTTGCTACAAAAAATGGCATTAGAAAAGTCTGCAAAGCAATAAACACCCCATCCCCCACTGTGGAAGTCAAGCAACTCCTTTAGAAACTATCCATGGCTGGTATATTTCATCATACTGAGAGCTGAAGGAGCATCAGTTCTTATCAAGGCTGTCTCAGGACAATTTCTAGATATAAAAGGAAGAATGATTCAAGTACCCTAATATAAAGCTGTATCCAGGGATTCAGAACCTCAGCTGTGACAAGGCCCATGTAATTTAAGGGGCAGAGAAATTAGCATGTATTATGGTACCAAGATTTTACAGAGCAGATGAAAGTAGTGCATAGATACCACACATTTTGTCTTATGAATTATGAATGCTAATACCCAAACTCTAGGCAGCTAGAAGTCTTCCTTTGATGTGGAGGTTAAGCCACTTTGTAAAGTTCAATTCATGAAATGCCTGAATAACAAAGGATCAGACTTTTGGAGCATCAGGCACTGAGTGTTGATTTCTAAAGCAATTTCATTAGGGAGATTCCAACTTGCCTTCATAACATTGAAGAGGACCTCTTGGCCCAGACTGTCCTGTCCCTTAAAAAACTCGTGCTCTGGGTATGTCCGGGCAATATCCCTCCTGATCAGCTTTTCACAAGGAGAAGACATCTTTAACAACTCTGAATACTGATTCTTCACTGGCATGTCAGTGGCACTGCACAGAAGTTGCCAAACAATGGCTCGGAAGTGATGGGGAATTCCTTTCCTTATGAGCTCCTAAGGGGGGGGGGGAGGGGAGAGAGAAACAATGTATGAGAAACCCCAAGCGACATTTGTGAAGTAGGACTCCCAAGCCCAAATCCTGTCCACAGTTCTGCTCAATATACCATAAGGAGGCTGCATATTTTAAACCTTTGGTATAAACTAAGGAGGACGCTGGACGCAAAGCAATTACCTCATGATCACAGCATATTGGAATAAGTCAGCTTGGTAAGAGAGACGGGAGTACAGGAATAAAAAAATTAAGTTTTCAAAACTGTAACCAAAATTCTATTGGCAGAGAATTTCTGTTTACTATCTAGTTCTCTGTTTGGAACTATTAATTGATTGCACCATAATTTTTTATGCATTCTTTGCAAATTACCATGTACATCAGTGGCATTGTATAAATAAAACTTTCCTTCCCTCCAATACCTTGTCTCTGATAAATTCTGCTCCCCTCAAACAACCACAGGCACATTACTTACACATTAGCCCACAATTGTGATGTAAGTGTGTACAATTGTGAAAAGGATTACAGAGTTTATGCAATCACACTTGTGTTATTATAATTAAAAGTATTCATTAGCTGCATTACTTACAAATGAGACAACACAGTATGAACATTAAAAGCAATTGTCACAAGCCAACCAATGAAAGTCTAAAACACATATCACTTCTTGTTTCTACAATACTTCTTTGGTTGGCATGCATATCTATGGTATGATAAAATTAAGCAGCATAGTGCCTTTAAAAATCACATTATTAGAAAAGCACTGTTTAATGTATGGATGAGATATAAAGATCTGTTGGAAAACAAAACCCCTAGATGGGTGTCACCAGTCGAGGCTAAAGCAGTAAAGAAACTCAATATGGAGGTCGGATGGCCGAAGTATTGGGAAATTTTGGAACAGGATGGAGATAAGTGGAAATTACAAAGCTATGACAAATTGAAGGATAAAGTACAAAACTGGCTTCAATACTACCAAGTAATGGAGCTTTTTAAACAGGACAGGAAAATTGGTTTTCAAGTGGACAAATCAAAACTAGAGATTGAACTGTTAGAACCCAAAACTAAGAATTTATCAAGAATGTATAACTTGTTGCTGAAATGGAATACACAGGATGAAACGGTGAAATCAGCCATGATTAAATGGGCACAAGACATTGGTCATGACATTATGTTTGCTGACTGGGAACAGTTATGGACCACCGGTGTTAAGTTTACGGCATGTAATGCCTTAAGAGAAAACATAATGAAAATGATTTACAGGTGGTACATGACCCCAGTCAAGCTGGCAAAAATTTATCATCTGCCCGATAACAAATGTTGGAAGTGTAAAGAGACTGAAGGTACCTTCTACCACCTTTGGTGGACATGCCCGAAGATTAAGGCCTTCTGGGAAATGATCTATAATGAAATTAAAAAGGTACTTAAATGTACCTTCTCGAAAAAACCAGAGGCCTTTCTCTTGGGCATTGTCGGCCAATTGGTGACAAAGAGGGATAGAACTTTCTTTATGTATGCTACAACAGCAGCAAGAATACTCATCGCAAAGTATTGGAAGACCCAAGATCTACCCACTTTGGAAGAATGGCAGATGAAAGTGATGGACTATATGACATTGGCCGAGATGACAGGCAGAATCCGTGACCAACGAAAAGAGACGGTGGAAGAAGAATGGAGAAAATTTAAAAGTTATCTTAAGGACTATTATAAACTTAATGAATGTTAAAATGTTGTGGTTTCCAGAAACAAAGGGATACAGGGATATAAGGTTAGAAATGTAAAAAAGGATTAAGCAGACAGAGATTGGAAAATAACAATTGGGAGTTGCTAGCTGAACTTTGGACATTGGGATGCAGAGAGGGGGGGTATGGGGAAGTCAAAGGAAAGAAGTTTATGAAAATATGTTTGAAACTATACGTGTATGTTTGTCATTTTTGGTGTTTGTTTGTGTTTTTTTGTTTAAAAAGTTTCTAAAACCAATAAAAATTTTATAAAAAAAAAAAAAATATACAATACTTCTTGTGAGAGTCATAGAATCATAGAATCATAGAGTTGGAATAGACCACAAGGGCCATCGAGTCCAACCCCCTGCCAAGAAGGAAACACCATCAGAGCACTCCTGACATATGGTTGTCAAGCCTCTGCTTAAAGACCTCCAAAGAAGGAGACTCCACCACACTCCTTGGCAGCAAATTCCACTGTCGAAAAGAGAAGGAGGAGTATTCATGCGCCGTCATGGGTACTGCCCATCGCCAGAGCAGACTCCCTCACCTTGAGCAGTTTTTCCTTCTTTTTCCGCCATTCTTCCCATTCATTTACAATCCTCCCCCACAAGATCCAGGTATCCTCCTCAAGATGGCTCAAGTTGGATGAGGCAGAAGAGCTCGAGACCAAAGAGGACCCACTATTCCTTCGCGAGCCATTCATGGAGCGCAAGGATTTGGAATCTGCTTCTAGAAGCCTGGGAAAATGACAGACTGTTAGTAGCATCCCTACCAGCCCCACAATCAGGTTACACCTTCAGAGCTATGCAAGTGCATCAACATCTAACTAAGTTACCATGAAAGTAGGACTCCTCAGTTACAATTGGTATGCACAGAGCTTCCAGTTGAACTAAGTTGAAATGCTTTTGCACACAAGTTTTTTGACATGCCAGCCCTTCTAGCAGCATACAAAGCATCTCCAGAGGTAAAACAGCTACAAACATATCGCATTAAACACAGCAAAGTTTGTCTGCTGATGGAGTCTGTAATTTAGGGGTCAGCAAGCTTACCAAACGATGGGCTGGTCCACGTTCCGTCTGTCAGAGGATGGGCTAGAGCGTGTGTGCACGCGCGCTCTTCCGGGTTGCTTCTCCATCCCGCACACATGCGCACACACTATTTCCGGTGCACATCCAGGTCGGAGGAGCACCTGTACACATGTGCACGCACACAGGTGCCATCAACCTGGAAGTTGTTCCCCGCGCCGCGCCACACCAGTAAGAGCAGGCAGTGGGAGAACAAAGCACATTCCTCAACAGAGCCCAATTTAACAATTAAGATCTCAGGCAATAAGAGTCAAGAATGATAAGAAAACCTCTCCATGTCTATGGTACATCTCGGCTTCACCCAATTTCTATTTTAAATAAAGGTGTAATTTATATTCAAATGCAAGACCAGAGAATTAAGACAAATTGACTTCTGTTACTTTCAGAAATCATTTTCAATGAAATCCCCTACTAGATTATTCTACCCATCAACTTGGTAATCACCTGAAGCCTTTAGCCAAAATCACATCACCGTTTTTAAAACAGATTTAGAAACATGAAGGGCAATATAATTCCTATAAATATTAAGAAAACCTTGTTCATTATACACAGCTCAGCAGAATTTGATTCCTCGGGCAGCTATAAAGGACTTATGCTTACTCATCAACAAGGTGTTCTCAGTTTTCTACTTTACTAATTCTCAATCCCAAGTGAAGCAGTCATGATAAAACAGTCTGGTAAACAAAACAGCTTTTAGATTAGGAAAAGAGCTGTTATACATTAGGTCAATGAGATAAGTATTTCAAAGAAACAGCCAGACACAAGTTACCAAGAAATCTTTGCCTGTTCAATTCAACATTTGTCACTTTCCATTACAGGTTCTCTGGCTGTCATGATCATTTGATGTTCGGATGCCACCACATGGCCATTTAGAAATCAAGCAGGGCATTCAGTAAAAGGAAGCTACCATAGAGCTACTGAAAGTAGCAAATCTACAGTTGTTTATACGATATGAGCAGCTGTCAAATCCAGGCAAATCAAAAAACAGAAAGGCAATGCCAAAACAGAGCTCTCACTGCCTGTCTACTCAGTCTAGCACACACTGCTTGGATGCTTTGGCAAAACTTCTGTCTCTAAAAGGAATGGAGCCTAACCTAGACAATGACATCTGAACAATGAAATCCAACATGCACTCAGGTCACTGATTGCTACATAGGAGAACATGTGCTTTGCTGGAATGAGGAATACTGCACTCAGTCCTTATTCAAATGGAGAAACAGTGGGAAGTCTGCTAATTCTAGTGTCCCAGCAAGTTATCCTACCTGGCCTCTGATTTTTAGAGGTTCTAAAGTCCAACAAGGTAGAAAGCCTAAGAAGGCTGAAATGCTGCCCTAATGATCTATGCAGCATCTTATTTTTAATATCCAGTTCATTTGCTTACGAATGAATTGTTCTACATGGTTCATTTAGGGATGCTGAAGGAATGTCAGTGATCTGGATTATGGGGCAAGCACATCTGATCTACGCCTCGCAAACAAAATCATGGGTCAGAGGAGTTCTGCCTCTGAATCTGGACCACCCAATAAAGCCCTACAAGGTGGTCTGAGTGGGACGTATTTTTTTATATATATAAAACCCTCTAAGAGCTGCTTGGAGCAGCGAATGATCACGCCAGTTGCCATGCAAGTTGAAAACATGGCTACAAATGGCCCCAGGATTGATGAGATGTGGGTGTGTGTCAGTTGCTTCCAGAGACACTGTGTGAGAATAAAACATGGTTGAACAATGCAAAAGGCATGCTGCTTGGACCACTAAAATGTAGGTTGGAGAAAGAAAGTTTTGCGCAGATTTCCTTTTTAAAAACATGTATGCAGGAACGGGACAGGTGGGAACTAATGGGGGTTTCATGTGATCAGAACTAGGCTGATCCCTAGACTAAAGTAACCTGTCAAAGTTCTTTTTCTGTTCATTTGAACAAATGAAAAGAAAAAGGTGACAACTGCATTTATCAATGTCCAAAAGTATCTCCCATTTGGTAGCATTGAGCTATACACTATATGGGCTTTATACTCAAGAAAGCATTTAAAAATATGTATTTATGTACAGCATTCCCAACTAGAAGGACTGGTTTCTCAGCTTTAATAATCACATTGATAACTTTTTTAACCAACCCAATGTGTATGCATACTATATCCAAGTTCAGCTCACTTCACTCAACTTACCTGTTTTGTTCTTCAAGCTTTGCCAATAGCTCCAACTCATCTGGGCTCAGATTCTCAGAATCGGACGTGGGGGAGCATGCAGGCATGGAGTTGACGGAGGAGAGTCCTTCATGGGAAGAAGAGTCTGGACTGATGGCCGGACTTGCCATCTCAGGCAGTTTGAGGGTAGCGGGGATGTCCATTAAAAAAGTATTCAGAAACAGTTTCAGGAAGGTCAAAGTATCACCTGAAAGGAAGGGGGGAAACCGCATTTTTCAGAGCAACAGTCCTTTTTTGCTTATATAGACTGATGTCAATATAAAGAACGACCTTTAAAGGTCTAGTTCTACACTGTTCAGAAGCATTTGGTTGGATGTGGCTAAGGCTCTATCAGGCCATCATATTCAAAACCGGGCACTTCAGGAAGAGTACAGAGATTATTAATTTCCGGCTCTATGAGAAGATGATGATTGAATTTTTAACTTTAGGTGGTAGTTCAAGAGAGGAACTTTTAAAAGATGTAGGAGTACTGTTACCTGTGAACTAGGTTAATGTTTTATCAATTTGGCCATTTTGTATTCTGTGATCTCTTTTAGGCTGCTAAAACACAACAGACATCTCTATCAATAGTAGGCAACACTTTACTTCTAAGCTCACAAATAATTCAGATGTAAGGTTAAGTCTCTGCTGAAAAAAAGCTTCCAAATATTTTTTGAAATTAAAAAGGTCACACTATTTTCCTTTAGTGCTGTGGTACAGAGCTTGCAGGCCTTCACTAAATTGCTTTTTCTGCTGAATTTAAAATTCTTTAAAGGTAATTCCCAAATAAATTTACTCATTCAACTCTTCGTATTCTTACTAATCTGCTTACTAAATTACAGGATTCTTACTAAATCCTGGCTGGTATTTTTTAATATTTCTATTCATGTCATGTCATATCAAAAAGTGCAACACTGACATCAGAAGGGCTCGAAAGTCAACTCACTATGTTCCTCCATGATATTACCAAGTCTCATGACTAACCATGTCTACATGAAGTAAGTCCTACTGAATTCAGTAGGGCTTATTCTCAGGTAAATGAGGTTAGGACTGCAGCCAAAGACACTGCTTTTTTCAACAGGCTGCATTAATGGTGCAATCCTAAAGTGGAGTTAGGCCACCTGAAGGGCATCGGAATTTGGCAGAAGTCCTCCTGCCCTCACAGAATGCCAGATAACACCATAAAATCCCGCCACACAAACTGACAGGGTGCCACAAGGAAGCCAACTGGGTCCTGAAGATGGAATGATTATGGTATTTGGTGTCTCAGACGCTTTCCTGAAGGGCAGCCAGATATCTCTCTTAAGGAGCCATGTCTTGCCACTTGTGGCACTGGGCATCAAATGAATGATGGGCTGCTATGCCACAGCTGTGTGTGTTGCAATGTATTCTGGCTCACTCCACTTCTGGGTAGTGATGTGGTGTTGACTCAATCCTATCCCAAGATTTGTAGGTAGCAGCTGTGTTGCCAAGGATAATGGAGCTGCCCTTTTTGGCAGTGTTTTTAGATGCCTCTTCGTCCTGTTCTCCTGCTCTCCCTCACCACCAATCCTGGGCTGAGCAAATATTGGACACAGCAAATGTTCGCCTGACATTGTGGCAACATTATCTGTGGCCCAAGCATAATTGCAGTTTGTGATTGTTCAGCCTGGGTCTTTATCAGACCAATGTCTGATCTACCAGAGAAATCAAAATAATCCTGTTTCCAGGCTTTGTCACATAATTTATTTCCCTATCATGTCAGCTACCCACTTTCTATTTAGATGTCATGCCCCAAAGCCCAATGAATGTGAAGGAGAATGGGTTTGCAAGGCTGCAGTGGACCAAGCGCTATCAAAAACATGTGCTCTCTTACTGTAAATTTGCCAGATGTCCCTGTAATTTCTTTTGCACCTACAGTGCTACCTTGGTTTTCAAACATAATCCATTGTGGAAGTCCGTTTGAGTTCTGAAACATTTGAAAACCGAAAGCGGAAGCCTCAAAAAGGAAGCTGCGTTTCCTGTTCAACTTCCAAGGCACGTTTGAAAACCAAGGCACCTTTAGGTTTTCGGTGTTCGAGTTCCGAAATGTTCGACTATGGAGGTGTTCAAAAACCAAGGTACCACTGTACATAGATTTCTAGATGTATTCTGTTTAGCTGCTCTCTAAACTGGGTGGATGGTGCTGGAGGAGACTCTTGAGAGTCCCATGGACTACAAGAAGATCAAACCTATCCATTCTTAAGGAAATCAGCCCTGAGTGCTCACTGGAAGGACAGATCCTGAAGCTGAGACTCCAATACTTTGGCCACCTCATGAGAAGAGAAGACTCACTGGAAAAGACCCTGATGTTGGGAAAGATGGAGGGCACAAGGAGAAGGGGACGACAGAGGATGAGATGGTTGGATAGTGTTCTCGAAGCTACCAGCATGAGTCTGACCAAACTGCGGGAGGCAGTGAAAGACAGGAGTGCCTGGTGTGCTCTGGTCCATGGGGTCACAAAGAGTTGGACACGACTAAATGACTAAACAACAACAACAAACTGGGTGGACAGGCAACAAAAATCACAAATGAAATGTAAATGTGCTTCAGTGTAAGTGAGTGTGAGCGATACAGATACAAAGTAGTACAAAATAAGCTCCAATCTCACGTACGTTGATGAGGTAGTCGTACTGAAGCAGAGCAACAGCTAGGATATATTGTGCAACTCACTATTGGGATCATGGTGGAGAGTATAATGAAATCAATACAGCATCCTATGTGAAAAACAAAATCCATGCTAGGGAGATTATTAAGGAAAGAGATTGAAAATGCTCTTCTCAGTACTCTAATGCCTTTATACAAATCTATGGAGCAGCCTTGTTTGGAATGCAGAGTACAGTTCTGGCGATTCCATCTCAAGAAAGATACTGCAGAGCTGGAAAAAGAACAGAAAAGGGCACCTAAAATGGTCAGAGAATTCTGGAATTTGTAAGAAAGGAGTAGGATGGGGCACAGCTAAAGAGGATGTGATTGAGGCTTGAATAGGGCCATAGTTGAAGCACTATGTTAAGGGTAAGACACATGTACAGCATTTATCCATTGTAACCTGATATCCAGGGATGGGGGAGTAGGTGCTGCAGCTTAGAGAATAGCTTAATAGATATACAAGAAACTTAGCAGTGTAGGAAAGGTAGATTTGAGGATTGTCCATACCAATTTGTAGGAGTCTCAAGGTTGACAAGTAATTTACAGTAAGTAGGTGTTGCCAGTTCTTCCCCTCCTAGTGTTCACTGTTGTTGGACTTGATTTCTCCATTTGTACTGCATCTTTTGGGAAATCTTTTATTATTATTAAGTCAAGGGCCAAGTATATTATCTACTGTGCCCTAGCAGTAGCGCACCCACCATACATCTAGAGTTTTAGGTTTAATCAGTTTTGCTGCTTATTTTAACCTGTGAGTGGTGCCAAGGTATGTCATGGCAAATGCTCAGTCGAAACCTGTGATACCTGTCAACAGTTCCAGCAACAGAAGCTGTGTGTTTACGAGGGTCGCTGGGAGGAGGGTGGGGGGAAGACAGGCCTGGTTAGAACAGGGATGAGGACTCAGACTCTTGTGGCTCTCCAGACTCTGACTCACAGCAGTCCCAGCCAACACGCCCAGCATTGAGGGATGGTGGAAGTTGCAGTCCAGCTACATCTGGAATGCCACAGGTCCTCCATCTCTGGGCTAGTGGTGCTAATAACACTAAAGGTCACAGGTTCATTCCCCATACATGCCAAAAGTTCTGCACCTCTTTTTCATCCTACTCATTTCTCTCCATTTCAAAAGTATAGTCACAAAAAATGGACAATTATTTTGCAAACACCTGAGATAAATGCACAATTAATCAACTGAGCCATTAGAAGAGGGGAATTCAGGGAACTGCAGAGTCCATTAATTCTAAGACAACGTGGTCCCCCCCCCCAAATATCCCCTGCACGTTCTGTTCTGTCAGATCTCTCCTTTCAACCAACTCAGAGACACTCCCAGCCTAAGACAAGGCCTCAGTTAAGCCCCACAGGGTTTACAGGCTGAAATGGTTAGGCCAAGAGGCTCAAGGCCTCCAGACCAATATACACAGTATTACCTATGTCCTCAGAACCTTATTTTGTACATTAATAAATGAACCCCTTATTATAATGAACAACTGTGCAGTTTTTGAGCAGCCATTTTGTGAAGAGCCTTGGTTGAGCTCTAATATACCATTAACAGTAAATATAAATAGAAGGTCTAAATAATTATAACTGGGAGGTTGGGGTGGGACTCAGCTACTGTGACGCTTCCTGAGGGGAAGAGAGTCTCAGTATTCAGCTATAGGTTAGGGAAGGAAGATTATCTCAATCCCAAATAAAAAGAGTGGGGAAGCATCCCCACACCTCCCCATTTTTAATGCATCTCCTTCTTTCTTGCTCAGTCTTTTTCCAACTCTCTCTCTCTCATTTTCCTAACCTTCCCATATCTTTCTTTTCTTCATTATTATTTCTCATTCCAGTATCTTTCCTAATTCATTCTAATTTCCCACTCCTACTTTCCTTTACATGCTTATGAAAGGAGAGTGAATGGTGTGCTACTTCCTTCTATGATGGGGCAGGAAGAACTTAGAATAAACCCCAAGCTTTTTTCCTTTTTTACAGTGGACAGTTGCTAATTTGGTGTGGGTTTACCCTGTCAGTTAACACAGCCTTCACCAACCTGATGTCCTCCAAATGTGTTGGACTACAATTCCCATCAGCCCCAGCTAGCACAGCAGTTATGGCAAAAGTTAATGGAAGTTGCCATCCAAAACATTTGGAGACCCCTAAGCTGGAAAAGTTTGAATTAAAAGTATGTAAATAATACTTGCCTACCCTACAGAGTTGCTTTAACATTTACAAGAGTGGTATTTGTAAATTTCCATGGCTCATGTTTCCTAACACACATACTGTGTTTTACTGAGTTAGTTCCTGTAACCTTAGACAATAAATATTATGTAAAAGTACAAGTAAATACATTCAGCGATGCAGGCATTCAAAATCAGCAGAAGACATTTGGGACTTTCAGATAAGCTATGAACTCCTTTTGACATCTTCATCAGATTTTTAAAAAAAACCCATTTTTCACTTATCAAGTGGCAAGCGTATTGGGTTTTAAGATACGCTGCATGTGTATTCTTACCCTTTTTAATGGTGTGTGTTTTCTTATTTTATTCCTTCCTTTCTCTATTTAAT